AGACGCATTGATGATATGGATCAATTCAGAAGTCAGAGGGGTCCATCCCGATATGTCTGGAGAGTAAGATAGCAAGCGATCGATATTGATTGTAGCAATATCACCCAGCTTGGCCAGAGCGAAGTGGTCTTCCTGATTCGGTCCCGCGGCGGCTGCTGTAGAGACACTGAGAACACGACGGTGTTGGCCAGCTTGCGACGGCTTCATGCCTCCTGATGTGGGCGACTTTGGTTGCGCTGCAGTCTCTGTCTTCGCCTTGTCATCTTTTGCTCTTTCCAAGAGGTCGCATACCGCCTCAACGACTTGTGCAAAGGCATCATTGGGAAAGTCAATAGTGCTTTCGATCAGACGAGATGCTGCCGTCTCAACAGCGCGGACTTCACTGCTAAAGTTGGAGAGTAGTGCATTTGCCTCGCCCTCTGCATGCTGGTCTGTTCCCTTCGTTGCGAGTGGCGTTCGGCCAGGGGTCTTACTCGTGGAGAACAGTACGAAATCGGCCTGCTGCAAGGTTTCCAGGATGATACGCCATGAAGAACCAAGAGTCGGACCAAGAGCAATGCCAAGGTTAAGGAGCGCTCGCAGACATAGTAGATTACGAGTGTTGAGCGTCATCTGGCTTCCCTCAAGGCCTTGCTGTCGACCTCTGTCAGCGACGGGCGAGGCTTGGGTGACGAGACTATCGACACTTAGTAGTCCTCGTGCGTTGCTCAGAATGCTGTTGGGCGCTTCTGTGGTGGGTGTGGGTGTTGTTGGTCGAGCTGGCCCAGCATTCAGGCATGCCGTGAACACATTCGGTGGCACTGCCGCCTTGCCCAGCGTCGTCAAGAATGCGTCTCTTGGGGTAGACAGCTGAAGCAAGCCGGCGACATGCGCAAACTTTTGGAATGCCCTCACCAGACTGTGGTAGTATTCAGAGTCCATAGCAGCATAGAGGAACGTAGAACAGGTAGCAAGGATGGCAGGCCAGCATTCCTCAATGATGGCGGCGCAAATTTTGACTTCTTTGTGCATGGGATGATCCTCCAAAGCAAGAGGGTTGAGCGGGACGGGGTTCTTCTTGAATGATGCTGCTCGTTCCAACGCAGCTCGTGACCCGTCTGTATCATCTTGTGCAGGTGCCGGTGAGTCACGGCCAACTTCCTGCTTCCCGCTCTTCTTGCGATTGCGGTTATCCCCCGGGACGGTGAGGGGAAGGATGAACTTGGCAAGGCCTTCAGAGAGCGATCCTATGCAAGACAAAGTCAAGCTGTAGATGTAAGAATCCGGAATAGATGGTGCCTCGGTCTTGTCGAGCTGGTCGATGCAAGGGACCCGGACGCTACTCCACTGCGTGCTAATGCCCACATTGGAGCCGTCTGCGCTGACGGAGCCGCTGATAATACCCGTGACGCCGCTGGCCTCGAGCATGGCTTGATCGGTTGATGATGCGATGCTAGCATAAGGGTTCATAACCGGGATTGTTGATTGGTGTCCAAGACCAATAACAGACGGTTTCTCGGTGCTAAGCCGCACAAAGGTGGCGGTCAAGTGTTTGAGGACATCCTTCTCGCCTTCTTTGGCATCGTAGTTGACGAAGATCCGTCTGATCAAGGCGTGCTCTGAGAAGATACCTCGGAACACTTCTAAACACAGTGCTCTCTTCCATGTCGCCGTGTCCTGGTCCAGTAGATGCGTCAGGATATCAAGTGCATCTCCGCTTTCGGTTGGGAGAATGTTGATATGGCGTCGTAGGAGGGTGTACAGAATCCGAACCAGCCTGACGGACGTAGCAAAGTTTGGCTTTCCTTTCAGCGCGCTAGTGATGAATGGCATGACCCGAATCTGTAGGATGTGTGCTTGTTCTTTGTGGGTAGAAAAGACGGCGGCGTGGTTGGTAAGAACCGACTCTATCAGTTCCAGTCCGAATGTTTGTGGCAGACCGGAGAATCTCAGGTACTCGGGGCGCTGGTTTTCCGTCATGAGGCATAAGTCGTTGAATATCTAAGCAGATGTAAGTGACGGAACTTAGAAGTAGGCAGGCGCGGCTTACCCTGTACGCATCCAGCGCCGCAGCGCGCAGTTCGACTGTGCCCTCACCGGACGGCGCCTCGCCAGCGGGAGGGCCACTGGAAGCCGAAGCCGTTTCTATGCACGGTCAGCAGATGTACTTGGTGGCAGAAAGACCCAAAACTGACTGTCTTCGGCAACGACCTTGTCAAACACAGACACGACGAGCTGTTGTAAGGTTGCCGCAGAGGTGTTGTTGACGATAGCATTTTTGCTGGACTGCAGTATGAAGCAGATGTTCAAAGCGGTGATGAGAAGGTCGCCTTTGAGATCAGTGGCATAATTTTGCAATAATGACGGCAAAGCCTGGAGGATTTTGAGTTGAACGTCGAGACCAGCCGAGGTTGCCTCTCTCAGAGCTTCGAGGACCTGGTTCAACTTCCCCCTGGGAAGAGCACGGGCGACGATGAGCCTCTGGAGGCATACAATGGCGATTCCAGTAAACTTTGCATTCTTGGTGCCACATGCGATGATGAAGGGATTCACAAAGTTGGGTCTCTGGGCAAGCTCTGTATCGAGAGGTCAGTCATGGATCCATAGCTAGGAGGGGATCGACAGGGGGGGATACACACCGTTGGCAGCTTGAGCTTCATTAGCTCCTCTAAGCGCTTTGAGTTCCTCGAGAGACTTTTCAGCAGCCTTATCCGTACATGATCAGCATTGAGTCTTGGTTATTCGGAGAATCAAGTGCACACCTGTCGGAGGTCATTGTGTTTCCGTTTGCTCTCTTGGATGAGGTTGGTTAGCTCCGTGGCCAGGAGCTGGGTCGTCATTGTGTCACAGGTGGCCTCTCGGGCAGTCCATCATCGATCTTGGGACGGAACTCAGTGAACTGAAGAAACACACGCAACTAAAACAGACTGTGAAGTGTTCCAAGACCGTGTCCTGTCGAAGATTGTCGAGTTGATGGGGATGCACAGGGCAAGTTAAGGTAGGGAGCTCCCGTTTGGACAGCTGCAACTGCTCTCTGCGCCTGGCAGCTCATCCACAGCTCCCGATTGAGGTGAGCTGTCCACCTTGAATGATGACTAAGGCATCTCGCATGAAGGTATCCACACCGCTTGATCGGCAGAAATGCCCAAAGTGGTTCACCGCCTTTACTGCCCCGCGCTGCCTTTGGGCTCGGCTAGCATAGCTTCTGGCTAGACAGTGGCACTTGCGCCGTCTCTCCAGCGCCTTCAGGCACAAGCCCGCTTGATTACACTGGTGGTCCCTTCTGTAAGGTTCCCACTGCGACCTGCCACTGGGTCCATCAGGTAACCCAGGTGCCTACCTCACGTTTAGGTAAGGAACTAAGATCCGGGCCGCATTGCAGTCCCCCGTCGGCCTTGCTCCCACTTCGTAACCCCTCCAACTTTGAACATCTACATTGCGGTATCTACCAGTCGCCCTTTCACAACCACACCGAACCCAAGCCTCGCGATACCCACACACGACTCAACATGGGTGCAAAGGTTCCACGCAACTTCCGCCTCCTTGAGGAGCTTGAGAAGGGCGAGAAGGGTCTCGGAGCAGGTACTAGAGCCCCTCCCCTCTGATGCAACACCAAGCAATCTGCCCCGCGCATCTCGCAGTTCTGACTGACTCTTTCCATTGTAGAGGCCTGCTCCTACGGTCTGAACGATGCCGAGGACCTCTTGATGTCCGACTGGAACGGAACCATTCTCGGACCTCCTCACGTTAGTACCTCCTTTGTGCTCACCAACCCCCATCGAGGTGTTGCGCATCACTGACCGGTCCTTTGTAGAGCGTCCACGAGAACAGAATCTACTCTCTCAAGATGCACTGTGGTCCCAACTACCCTGACGAGCCTCCCACGATACAATTTGTGAGCCAGGTCAACCTGCCCTGCGTCAACTCCCGCAATGGCGTCGTCGACCCCAGACAGCTTCCTTGCCTGGCCAACTGGAAGAGAGACAACACCATGGAGACCATTCTCATCGAGCTTAGAAGGTACGTTGGGAAGGTAGATCTGGGTGCACGCTGAAGTGCAGCTATACAGGCAAGGCTAACGTTCATTTCCCCAGGTACATGGCGGCTCCTGCGAACAAGAAGATCCCCCAGCCTCCCGAAGGTTCTACATACTAGTAGTGGCCTATGTGCATGATTCTCCACGATTCGCGAAAGAGGGTTTGGCTGGGTAGGTCGGGCCCATTATCGGTACACATGGCATGGGTAGTATGGCTCAATGATTATGACTTTCTTCACACCCAAAGTCCTCTCTTCTCATTATGCTGTGCTGTGAAGGAAGGCAATGTGTCTTTGTGCTTGAGGCTCTGGACAGAGTGAAACGGAAGGGGACACCATCAACAGCATGCACCTCTGCGGGTACGAGACTCAGATCTGTATTGGGCGCCACTCTCCAGGCTCCCTCTGCTGACTCTATACTGGCTTGTTATCCTCTGAAACCAATCGCAGTCTTATAGATGAGGACTTAGACTAGGTGTTGTATCATGTTTTGATCCGGTAAGGTGGTAATGGATGCAATGACTGATCATCTTAGGGACTGTCATGATGCTGAATGTTTTGAGATCCAAGTTTCATGACTAGCCAACATCAATAGGGTTGTGATCCAATGCAAAAAATCAGAGTATCCGGGCTTCATATTCGTTGCGAACAGATGTGCCGTCTGGTCTCCAAGCTAACAATGCAAGACCTCGTCCATGTCCAGGATGTCCTGTCCTGGGTCCTGGATGCCCATGGCATAGCACCACGGAATGGGAGCATCAGAGCCCGGTGGGCCTCGGCCGATACCGTCGGCTAATTATCGGTAGGCAGAGGCAGCTGCAGCTTCCGTCATCCATGGACTTTTTTTGCCCTGGTCAAACGACGGAGACCCACAGATCCTCTTGGGCCTTAGCTGATGACCCGCGAGAGAGCTGTTCTGGAGCTCGCAACCTCGATTTGATCCACGCATCTTCTCGATCTACGTCAATGCCGCAGCAGCAACAGACATGGCTTCGGCGGTAACAAAAGCCGCACTCTCCGCGCCGCTGAGACGGGCTCTCGTCCAGTCCCAGTCGCGCGGCTTCCAGACCACCACAAAGAGCCTGCTTCCATCAGCATTCGGCTCCAGCTCCAGTATCCCGCCCTCCTACTTCCAGAGGTCGTCCCTCCCCGCCAACACCGTCATCCGCTTCGTTCCGCAACAGACGGCATGGATCGTTGAGCGCATGGGAAAGTTCAACCGCATCCTCGAACCCGGTCTGGCTATCCTCGTCCCCTTTATCGACCGCATCTCCTACGTCAAGTCACTCAAGGAAAATGCACTCGAGATCCCCAGTCAAAGCGCCATTACCGCCGACAACGTCACCCTCGAACTCGATGGCGTCCTCTACACCCGCGTCTTTGACGCCTACAAGGCCAGGTTTGTCAACACACCCCTCGACGGTATCGTAGTAGAATTCTAACAGTATACCCCAAGCTACGGAGTCGAAGATGCCGAATACGCCATCTCCCAGCTGGCGCAAACCACGATGCGATCCGAAATCGGCCAGCTGACCCTTGACCACGTCCTCAAGGAGCGCGCCGCCCTCAACACAAACATCACCGCCGCCATCAACGAGGCCGCCCAGGCCTGGGGCGTCACCTGCCTCCGTTACGAGATCCGAGACATCCACGCCCCCGCCGGCGTCGTCGAAGCCATGCATCGCCAGGTCACCGCCGAGCGCTCGAAGCGCGCCGAGATCCTCGACTCTGAGGGTCAGAGGCAGTCGGCCATCAACATCGCCGAGGGTAAGAAGCAGAGCGTCATTCTGGCGTCCGAGGCCTTGCGCGCCGAGCAGATCAACAGGGCGTCTGGTGAGGCCGAGGCCATCCTCATGAAGGCCAAGGCTACCGCCGCTGGTATCGAGGCCGTCTCCAAGAGCATTGCCGATGGCGAGGATGCGGCACAGGGCGCCATCAGCTTGTCCGTTGCCGAGAAGTACGTTGACGCGTTTGGCAAGCTGGCCAAGGAGAGCACGGCTGTCGTAGTCCCCGGAAACGTGGGAGACATCTCGAGCATGATTGCCACCGGCCTGAGCGTGTACGGCAAGGTTGGACAGGCACAGGCCAGGACGATGGCGAAGCAGCTGGTCGGCAACGAGTCGGCGGAGGAGTCTGGCGAGGGAGCGTCCGGGGAACCCAAGCAGCTGAAGGATTCGGTGCTTGAGAGCTTCGACCAGGCGGCGGGACAGAAATGATTATTTGGAGAGAGTACGGAGCCGGCGTTGATGGACAGACACACACAAGATAGGAGAATCGCCGGGTGTCACATTATGTACTAGTACTACCCACTCAATCAAAAGACGGGCGAGGAAAATGCCCATGCATATCATAGGTTAAAATTGACTTGATCAAATCTCCCATTGAAGTATTCTTTTCTACGTGAAAGGAACACGTTAAATATTAAGCCTGGAGTCCACGTCCCGAGAGGCTGCGAGTGCCGTCCTTGCTGCCGTTCCAGTATATTCTGTCGCCTGGATACGTAGGAAGCCTTTGTCTACCACTAGAAGTATATTCCCGTCACCATCCAGCAGGCGCCCGTCTAGGTCGACGGGTCAGGTCAAACTGGTTGGGTGGTGGAATGGTTCGAGATCAACAATCAATATATTCGCCCATAGCCTTACTCGACGACAGGCTCTGAGTTCGATTCCCAGCATGAGCACCAAGAGATATAACCACATCCGTGGTGAACTCTTTTTCTTTTCTTCCCCTTTTCAACATGATATTAAAAGGGGTCAACGTGTTTAGACCTTCGCTGACCTCTTTTAATAAGGTACTTCGTGGTGGCTGGAAACGTTGCAACCTAGGAATAGAGGAAATACTAAATGCGGCCTTGGATCATGGAGCGTCTGAATAGATCGGTTACTTCGAAAAACAACTGATACCACTGACATTACAACTCAACCTGTGCTAAGTATTCCTGGCCATCGCTCGGAGGTCAACGTCGTGAGAAATGACAGTTTCATGGCTTCAACAGGTTATAAACCCACATTTCATCAACGCCATAAATTGTGCAAGCCTGAGCTGTCTCCCTGTCCCGCCGTAGGGGACGTTGCAAGTTGTTCTCCGACTGAACCAGTTGAGCTCCAACGTGCTTCACCTTTTTGAGCCGCTATCGACAATGCACATGCTTTCCGCAGTAGTGTGACTTTGATGTTGATCTTAAATGTATTGTCAGTGTACGGTGTACAGTCCTCGGATGCAATGTTGCAGTGACACTCCTCTAACCATGCGAGACCTCAGAAGAAAGTCGGGTAGGAAATCGAACCGGCCTTAAGTATAAGAATCAAGCATATTGCAATATCATAGTTGAAGAAGTACAGGTATTGAATCTGACAGTCGAACAGAGTAGTGAACCTGATGACGTCAAGTTCTGAGGAAGTACTGAATCTCTCTATATGCCCGGCTGTATATGTGCGAAAATGACACCTGTAATTCTGTGCAGCTAAGTACTTCGGGAGCACGAAGCTGTTCGTAGCAATATACAAGCAACTGTCAATGTCCTAATAGGAAGGTTGCATCTGAGCCTTGTCAGGTTCGAGTGTAAACTCTCATGGGCCCTCGCATCATCTTCCTTTAAGATAGACACAGTTCTATCAGCAAGAACTTGCATTGGATGGACGCGTACCAGTGCTCATGAGATAATTTGGAGCTGACACCCATCTCACTTGTATCACAGCTTTGAAGCCGTACCAAAAGCACGCTTGTGGTAGCATAAGGGCTCATTTTATACGTGTGCTATACATAAATGGGCTCCCTCCATGGTGAAAGGGCGAATTATGAATGCATTGAGTTGTGAGCGCATACGTCTGTTATATAGAATTATGCTCAGTGTAGAAGACACTCTGCGGAAATGGTGAGAGGCTTCGTAAAGCATTTGATCAAGCTTTGGAGCAAGCTGCCGTAATACTTCGTCTGCGTAGCAAGTCACACCCATATTCTTACTATCAGAGTTGTAGTAAGTTGGGCATGGATCCACTTGTATTGTTGATGTAGTCAAGACTTACACAATATGAAGAAGGTTGAAAGGCGAGCGAAGAGGTAGCAACGTATCTGCGCCTCTTCCCTCTGGAGGAACCAAAAAGAACAGGCGGAATCACGCAATCGCAACAGCGGACCTTGTTGGAGACGGACACGCATATCTCCTTTGATATGATGCCCGCCAACAAGAAGCAAGAGAATGACCTTGCATGGTGCAGGACGCAAACCGCATATCCAATATAGCCGGACAAACACCGAAGCATCCGTATCAAAAGAAGAAAGGAAGAAGCAAAAAGAAGAAAACGCCCTTCAACATCGGCAGTCGAAAAGTCGCCTCTCGCACGGCCAACCCTTACCCCGCGAAGAACGTTTTTTTCTCCCTCACGATAGTCTCTACCCCGCCAACTGGAACACCGGCGGCGGGTCCTATCCAGCACGACGCTCAGAGTTTTCTGCAAGCGCGATCTTCACAAGATGCAAGCGAGTGGGCAAAGAAGGGCCGGCCGCCGGCCGCCGGGTCGTGCGGGCCTTGCCCTCTCCAACTCGCTTTAGGCTGCTGCTCTTGGCTTTTCTCTTCGAGGTTTGAGTGGAAGCCCCCGGGGGCGAAAGGCAAAGGGTGAGGGGGTCATGCCGGAAAGCGGGCGATGTCGTATCAGCATCGGCGAGATCTCCCGCGACCGAATTCACGAGTGCGGTCTCGTGCCAGTGGGGACTGCGAAGAACGATGGATCATGGCGTATCTATTCTACGGATACAAACAGGCGGGTTCGAGACCTCTGGCAAATTCGGCTTCTGCACCTTCGCTGACCTCACCAAGCTGACTAGAGCGTTACCGAACAACCTCATGATGCAGTTTGCCTGCAGCCTCGGTGCGGCACAGCACCGCATGCTGGCGCCTTTCTTCTCAGCTGTTAGCCTGTTTCGAGATGTCAGCTCTGCATGATGGGACTTTGAGGTTTAGCGGGCGCGGCCCGCTCAAACTTTGGGAGGGATTTGCCGTGGTAGGGTTTACGAAACTTCGACAACGCGGCCGAAGCAACCGGGGACGGGCAGCAATGAACATGTTTGGCAATGGGCCGTGGGAAAGGGGAGGGGGCATACCCGACTCGGACTCTCTCACCCAGGCCTTTGTCGGTGGAGTTTTTGACCCTCGTTACCGTACGGACATCGACCGACGGAGGCGGCCGGATCAGGGTTCATGATGAGCGAGGAGGGCTGGTTCTGGCAGATACAAGGTCGTCTGCTTGTTAGGTCCACCGCCTAGGAAGAGTTGCTGTAACATTAGGATACCGTCTCCGGCTTCGCGAAGCGGGTCGGAGAAGGAGGAGGAGAAGGATTTGAACAAGAAATGCTTTCAATAAGCGGCTTGCGCAAGTGGTGAACCGAGCTCCGATGATCAAGCCGGCAAGGGTTTGAGCTTTTGGGGGCCTTGAAGGCACATGGGGCGGTTATCTCAACCTTCTTTGCTTTTTACGTCCTACTTCCTCTCGCAGAGATGGTCACATGCATCTTTTAGGGATGTATCATGGGAGGGGGGAGGATCACCATCTGGCATCGGGGCGGGGACTGTCAGAGAAGAAGGATGTCGGCCCTCCATGCCTAATAAAGCATGCCGATTTCGCGGCGAGATATGTCTGATCTACATTCGCGCAGCCAAGTCTAACGGGCAACAGTCAAACAGACAGAGCTGGCGTCCAATGGAGATGAGCAAGGCCTGCGAATAGTTGCAATGCTCTATTGTTCCCTCAGGCTTGAAGCAGCGCATATCAAAATTTACCTTTCGAGAATCGCGAAACAGCGATGGGCCTCCGCGTCTCCTGAAAATGGCCAAACCACCCTGGTCACCTGGTTCCGGAGCTTCGACATCCCAAGCTGGAAAGCTCTGACCGTGAGTCCACTTCTCATGCCGAATCTGGATGGAAACGGAGACGTTGTAGCATAGATATTAGAAAAAAAAAAACAGACGAGCGAAGCAGGGTGACGAAACAACCTCGTAGGCACGGTGGCACGCAAAGTCACGATGGGATGGAATAGGATGGGATGGGGCTGATGGCAACCGCCTCATCCACAGCAGATCTTGGTTAGCCTTACTCTGCAGCGGGGCTGGGATCTTGGATGGATGGATCGCCGACTTTCCTCTTCTGAAAAATCATTGCGACGCTCGAGGGGGTGTGAACCGTGAGGGGGTGCTTTTGCTAGCGTAGCCAGCTTGGCAGCTGGGCTTTGCTGCTCTGCTTGGATTAAAGTGCAGGGCGATGTTGCAATCCCAATATGGATGCGAGAACATCCGTGCTGCAATGACGGGCCAAAGCTCCAGAGTGCAGTTCCTACTTCCAAGTTTAACACGAGCCTTCGTCCGAAGGAGGATGTGGTGGTGTTGAGCGAGTCAAACCGACGAGTTGTACTGGCAGCCCGGTCCGAACTCTACTCTGCAAGCTCTGCAAGTTTGTTAGAGCGATCAGTGACGAATGACGAGCCGTGTCTGTGTGTCCCCCATCATGGCGTTTGCTCGAGTGGAAAATGTTTTTTGGCGGATGTGTCATAGATCTTCCCCGAGGAGGGTGCTGGCTTCGATTTTGCCTGACCCTCTGATGTCAGGGACCTTGTCTGGTTGCTGATCCGGATCAGCAAGTTGAATTAGACTTCGCAGCAGCAGCGTGCCGTGTACCGTCTTCGAACCTCGTCTTGTGAGACATTGCGGCGCCAGATGTCATGCGTGCCATGTTCAGGCTCCGGCGATAGACGCCAATCTATCGATCAAGGGTTCACCCGATTGAGGCGGGAGAGAGGGGCCTGGTCGAAGAATCCCGACTCAGACACAGTCACTGCATCTGTACCAAAGTTTCTATCTTGAGGGAACCGGTGGGATGGTCGTCGCTTGGGCCGTTGGATTTTGGAACCGTGGAATTCCAGTTTACCTAGGTTGATAACATGTCCCGGCGCATTGTAGCGATGACACGGGTGAGCGACAGCTTCGGCGGCAACTCATCCGATGTTTAGTCTCGACAGCGACGGTAAGCGTTTGGGGGGCTCGAGTCCGACCCGGCCCAGTACCGGGGCGTCCTCGACTCTTCGGTCACCACAGGTGAGACTGAGAGAGAGGGTAGCTCAGCTCACTCTGTCAGAGGGGACCCTGTCAGCCTGTTTGCTTGTCAAACCTGGGCTTGGCTTGCCTTTGCCTGGCGTGCTTGGATTGATTCTTTTTGGTACGTGCTTGGTGGATACGGAAACTGGCGATGCTGCTATTGACAGGGCCGGTCTTTAATCATGTGGTCAACCTACCCCGGCCTCTGACCGCTGCCCCCTTTCGATCGTTAATCTCACCGATGATGGGCAATCGACTCAAGCGAAATGTGGTCAATGGATTCCCCTGGTCTTCAGCCCATGAGACCAAACACCAAGACACCATTGGAAATCCTTAAGTGGGATTTGATCTGTATCCATACTCGTACGAATACAGAATGTCAAGTTTGCTCTGTGTTTGCGGATGACAGGTGCATGATCCACGGGCTCCCGTCTCTGGCATCGGATCGTTGCCCCCTTTGTTGGTACACACTATCCATACACAGAATACGCATAATTTGACAGCTGAAAACTATTGGACTGGGAACTGAACGGTGCTATTGCACGTCCCCACGGGTCCCCTAGGGAAGGATTTGTAGTGTAAATGCGTTTGACGGCTGAGGCGCTTTGGCTTCAAACATTGTGTACGGAAATTCAGACACGAGTCCACAGCAGATATGACTGCGCGTCTAGGTGTGTTTCTGGGCAAAATAAAATATAGGTTACGTTTGTCAGAGTTTCCCTATGTGCACAGTAAGTGGAAGCGAACCTGGCATGCTGGGTTGGCCCTCGCTGTGCAGCTCATGATGGACGTGTACACGGACGCCAAGTGTCGAACGGATACATCATTGAACATGGAGTGGCAGGCTTCGGAAGTGGAGTTTGGCTTCGCCGCTTGCGTGCAGCGCCGCCGTGCTACCGTGAACATGTCGGCACAAGGTCAATCCCACTCTGTTCTACGAGAATCCTTTCGTGCCACACTGGTAGACCTCGTTGGAGTGGGTGAGGCCAAGCTGTCGCTGCCTTGAGGCTGGTGTTGTGTTGGAGCGGCATCGGTTCGTCGATGATCTATCCGTTCTAGGCAGCCGACTGTTGCACCTGATGGAAATGTCGTTTGCGCGTTTCTGCGTCTAGAGGTAGTATCGAGCAGATTGTAAAGACCCTGGTCTCCTTGCCATACTCTTGTGAAGTTGTAAAGTAGCATGTCATGATTCCCACCCAGGCCTCGCGGCTTTTCGCAGACCCCTTAAAGGCCTCGACATATATGAATGGAAAGATAACTTCCCGTGCCTACGACATCGTCGTCGTCGTCGTCGTAGAGAGAGGGTCTGTGAGTCGTAGACCTTACTGCCGTGATGTCCGTGTCCGTCCTAAGGCAAGTGATGGACCTGTCGAAAGCGGCGCCTAGCCCGATGAAGTTCGTTCCTCATCCAAAAAGAGGCTCGTTCGCGAAGGGGACCCGACGATATGGACCAGTCCACATGGGAACGCTCAAGTCTGGACGAAACCGGTGCTCTCGCCACCGCAAAAAGCAAATCCTTCGTTCCAACTTTACGCGGGACAGACTCAATGATCGATTTTGGTCTTTTTTCCTTCTTTTCTTTACTTTGGTTCTCTCAATGTCCTTCATGTTCCTCTCATTCTACCCCAAACAGCGTCATCTCCAAGTGTTCAGTCGATACGAGTCAGGGAAGTAGCAGTGAAGGTCTCTCTGCTGCATCTCATGCGTCGCAAAATAAAGTCACAGCATCGCCTGAGTCGGTCTTAGATTGCTTGCTTTTGTCGCCTGCAGAGTCTGATGAGAACGGACGTTGGAAACGCTCGACCTCTTCCACGTTGCCTTTTTGCCCTGGTGGGCATGTACTCCGTAGGCACTGGCCGCGTCCTTGCCTCCGTCTTGAACGTGCTAGGCTCAAGCAAGTACGAGCAGTGCTTGCTCATTGATAAGATTGACTCCTTTTTGCAAGCATCTCAGCCACACCGTCCCCATCCCCAGACCATGTCGCAGTGGCAGAGCAGCAGCACGACAGCTCGAACAACGACTTCTGAAAGTGGGCGGTGGGCACGTAAGTAGCCCACTGTCCCAGTGGTCTAGCCCGCCCCTCTCTGTAAAAGTAAAAAGGATATTCCAGAATACGTGGAGCATTTCGTAAGGCCCGGAACATGGGCCCAGGTTCAGTCAGGGGCGTTCCTTTCGACCACCGCATATGGATTGGCCGCCCGTCTATCTGCTGGGTTCGGAAACGGCGGGATCGTGAATTGACACCGATATTTGCGAACCGAAGGAGCCAGCGGGCTGAAATTCTGAGTTGGCAAAGCATGAGCGGGCGGCGGGTGGTGCCATGGTGCGGAACGACGCCAGCCAGACCCCGTACCCTATGGGCAGAAAGGCGCTTGCATGGCACAACAAAGCTTGCCTCTATGCAAAGTTGTTGCCAACTCTGCGATGATGCATTGTCCTGCGGCCGGCCAGCTCAACTATCAGCAGCCTCCTAATGAACGGTGGGCCTCTTGTGTTGGCTGTGGCCGCTGTCCCGCACCAGGCTGTTTCAAGACATGTCGCCCACTATACGTCCAATTCTGCTGCTTCGAGAAGGACTAATAGTGATAGGTCATCCGCATACTGGGGAATTCTGAGACAAGACCAGGACAGAAGCGGATGAGCGAAGTCACCTGCGATCCATCGGATAATGGCCCTCACAACGGCCAGAGGCGGTGTCTCTCTGTACGGAGTTGACTGCGACTTCTAGGCAGGTACTCAGTATTGGCTCTGAAATGCTCATATTCGTGGGTATGAGTGCAGCTTGTGGAGAGGCAACAAGGCTAAGGGTTATGACGGTTGATCGGGACACGAATCGCTACTGAAGCTATTGCCAACAAGTGTCGTTACTACGATGACCGGTGCGTGCAAATTTGCAACCCAGAGCTGAAATTCGCAAATTGAGTGCGGCGTACGGTCCACGGATAGACAGAGGCCCAAAGCGCTCAGCGACCGACCCTTCAGACGTCGATGAACATGATTTCATAGAATAATGACTGTTGAGCCTTGAGGTCCAGGATTTTTCTGCTGAATGGCGTCGCTGATCATCCCCGATGAGACTGTGGAAAGTATGCCCACTGCCCGTAATGGGCAAGGACTCCTCCACACTTCTTCAGGGGCCCCGGCGATGCCCTGCAGAGATCATTCATTGGAAACCTGGGAGGGCATTCACGAGTCCCTCGGTTGGCGACTGGGGGGCAGAAGACTCGAGGAGGGGCGCGGTTTCGCGCATCCACGGCCATTCAGCCCCCTGCTTGACCTTCGCTGTCAAATTGATTAAAAGAATATTAGGCGGTGATTGCGAGTGTCATCATTGTCGTCTTCACGCTCTCATCATCCATCCGTTCGTTTGTATCGAGCAGATGCCCCGTGCTTCCCGTGTCTCGTCCGTCCTGTTTCCGTTCCTCTCTGCCAGCTGATCCCCTTGGGTCTTTGGCCTGAGGGTTGCAACCATTGTTAGTGGTGAATCCTTAGGGGCCAGTCCGTAGTCGACTATTTGTGTACGTATAGGTATAGGCACTTCCTCCTTTGCAATATCAAAATCATGGTTCAGGGGTGTGTTTCCGCCGGCCGACAACCCCTGCCTTAGCCCCGGGTGTCGTTGTGCAGCGCGGGAGGGGACCAAGAAAGTGCCAGGCCGAGGGCCGGTCATTGGAGCCAGCACGAGGAGGTACGGATACTTGGAGGAGAGAGACGATTCTGGCGTTCGCGGTCTGTCCGACATGCTCTTCTGCATTCCCACCGTCTCGTGTGGCTTGCAAGGATTGCGTGCGGTGGACCGCCACCATCCATGCAGAATCTGGACGGCTTCCCACCCTAATCACCTGCAAGTCAGGCAATCCCCAGCCAAGGAGGGGAGATGTATCGAGGCGAAAAAAGGTGGATGACTTTAGAGTAAAGGGTAAGAGGGTGCGGTATGTAAGGTTCAGGTGGCCATCCAAGAGGCCGTCACGCACGTCAAAGTGCCTTGGTGCTGGGTGTGAAATTTCCAAGTTCCATTTCCCTTTTCCCCCAATATCATAATCGCTGTTCCCTCCCAACACCCACACTTTCCGAGGAAGAGGGAGGGCCCTTGGATCTGTTTTCTCTCGAGTCCTTCTCTTTTCCGTCTCATAGGTCTCATATTCGACACGTGGAGGAGCAGCCCATCCGAACAATTAGCTTGAAAGCCGAAAGAGCCCGTCTGGCCCGGACCGATCTGGAAATTGTGCCGGTGGAGACGCAAACAGGAGTTTGGCTTATTACCCCCCTTGGTCCTGGGTGCCTTCGTATGACGGCCATCGTCCCATTTCTTTGTGTCGCCGTCGGAGTGGGAGGATCGCTCGGGAGGAATCTACTCAGCTGTGCAACCGAACCCTTACTACGAACGAAAGAAACCAACGAGAAGCTAAGCAGCAAATTGTCATCTGTGGGACAGGAAACATTGAACACCAATACCAAAATCGCATGGAGAATTGTCGACCTGTCTGGCTCACCAAAACCGCATGCATCGATAGCGCGGGTTGTCAACCTGCTTTGACAAGGTAGTTCCCTCCACATCCAAATTCACGAAGCTCTACCATATGAAAATCCGCCCGGCCAAACCTACGAGCCAAAGCAGCCTTTCTACCCAATGCTCTTTGCTGCTCTTGGCAAGAAGAGGCTTTCGCGAGAAGGAAAAGAAGACCTGGGCTGACCAGAAGGACAGAGGTCGCCGCCGCACCGGTTCGTCGAGATGGGGCGAACCTCTAAATTCACATTCCCCGTCCCCGGGAGGAAACAGAAACCGCCGTTTGGCCCGATTGTGTCGGGGCCCATGTCGAAAGCGCAAAAGATTCTGGGAACCGCCGAGATCAATATCGACGCTCCGCGACAATGGGATTCCGCCTCCAACTCCGGCATCAGCGTATGCGTATCTGAAAGCACGGCGACTTATAACCCGAGCGAAAGAAGCCGAGGAGTGATGCGCCATGAAGAGGAGGGCAGTTACGCAGGGAATAATCGCAGTAGGAACAACAACACGAACGCGCAATGGGAACAGGAGTCCGAGATCGTGCCGGCTTTCTTGACGAACCGATTCGCACAGCTGAACACCGAAGGCAGCCAGCGAGAGTTTACGACTGAAACATCAAGCCTCGCCCGACGTGGTTCAAACTCGACCATCACTTCGTGGTACGACAAGACGAAGATGCCGCTTTCGATATCGCAGCAGACATCCTCCTCCGCCATGGCAAAGGGCCTGCCGCAGAAGGCCAACGCAGTCCTCGATATTGAAGGCCAATCATCGACCAATGTGCCAGCACCGTTGAACCTGAAAGCCAAGAAGAGGCCGAGTCGACTAGATCTTGGGCCATTGTTGTCTCGGGCTAAGCACAATAGCTTCAAGGGCAAATCCGACCCTCAGCGAACGAGCTCCGTACATGGACACGAATACACCAACCGATCGCCCTCGCTCGCCTCGGTCACCTCACCCAAGAGCACACCACCGCCGATCCAGCAAAGAATCGAGAGGAAATTAACGAGGAAGAGCACGTACGACAGCCTGAACTCGACCGGAAGCCGGCCGAGAACAGGTTCCAGCAGCCGCAGAGGCGCCAACGACATCAGCACATTGCCCAACCTATATGAGCATTACGAGCAAATGTCCTTTGACTCAGTCCTGGGACATGATGGTCCTTTGGCTGCTGCATCTACTCACTCTCTGAATAGTGTCGCTCACACACCACTTAGATCGCCGTCTACCACAGACCACCAAAGGAGGAACTTCTCGAGGCCTCCTCTGAGACAAGATGGGACGACGTCAACATACCAACCTCAATTCGGACCGTTACCAGAGTCTACTGCCGCATCACCTGGCCACCAACAGACGCTGCCCGATCGCGATTGCGCATCAAGCGTTTCAAGTCGCTACACCAAGACGTCAAAAGCCTCCAAACGAACAAGTCAGAGTCTGAACGGTTCTGATCTGATGGAGAAGAGTGTTTTGTCGCTGTCCTCAGACTCGGAAGATGATTTCTTCCCCGACTCCGTCTCGAAGTTCACCGGGGGCTCTCGCAGCAGTGATGCGGGAAGTTTGGCTCCTTCATCGCTAAGATCGACACACTCTCGAGATGCCCCGTCATTGGGACAAGGCTCAAGGAAGTCTGTCAAACACGCCAGCTTTGCCCCGACCAATACATATCTCACCATCCCTAGCAAATCGCCGCCCAGCAAACCACCTAGCGTCAACGCGCGCATGAGTTCGTTACCTTCAACTACATATCGGCCCCCGCCGGCTGCGTCAAACCGGTCATCACAATATTCGACCATGTCGACATCAACCACTGACTCGCTCAATAACTCTCTGAACAACTCTTTGAACAGCTCTCTGAATAACCGACAAAGTCGCGCGAGTTACGGTGTTCAGGAGGCGCGCGTAATTGCGGTGCTTCCTCCACAAGAATCACACACCATCCCGGATCGTATGATGAGCAACCCACCCCAGCGCATGCTGTCCACAAAGTCTTCCTCTGTCCATTCGGTCGACCAGCCAACGCCGCCCATGAGCCCGACATCAGTAGAGTCCTTTATGAGTTCCGGCGGTGGCGCCGCCGCGGACGCCAACAACACTGCAGACTCTCGCTTCATGGCCGTAACCCGACAGGAAGAGATGCTGCTCGCGGCTCTCCGGATGAAGCGCGCTCGCATGCGCGAATCGATCCTGGCCGAATACGAAGACGAGTCGAGAAGTTCTTCCTCCTTCCATCAGCGCAACTCGTCGCAGGGCACCATCACCGAGATGGACTGGCCCGAACCCCCGCAGACCCTGCGTCATCAGACATCAGCAACCTCGAACAGCACCATCAAGGCCGGATCGCGCGCCTCTGACAGTCGTCCGGCATCTTTAGTCAGAGGCCGGAGCCATCAACGCAGCAACTCCCGCCACCTTGACTTTCCCGCGCCCTCGTCGCAGCCGGTATCCGGCGCATCCTCGAGGACGGGCAGCATGCGCAAGATGAGACCGGTCCAAGAGATGACACAGTCGAGCGAGTCGCCCAAGCAGGAGCGGATTCTGCTGTATTTGGACAGGCCGGTGGGCAACGTCAACTCAATGGACTTTGCGGAGCCAAGCCCGGATCTGAGCGACTTCATGGACTTTGACAATGTCAGCGAGGAAGACGAGGAGTTCACGAGCGGCATGTCCATGTTCCGGAACAGGGACCACCACCGCTTCACCATGGGCGCCGTGGGCAACAAGAGCCGGGGACGGATGCTCATGACGGGCGAGAGGGTCCGCCACGAGTCTTCGCCGCTAAGACCGAGGGGCGACGACGACGACGATTTCGGAAGCCGGAGCGCGAGCACGAAGAGGGCGCCGGCTACCGAGATTGTCGAGAGCGACAGCGACGTCGAGCCGATGTTTGGGATCCCGAGGCCAGATTCGCCCGTGTCGCCTGAGGGGACCCTGGGCCTTCCTCACCAAGGGCTGTCAACGAAGAAAGCTGTTCGGCTCAGCGCGGTCGGCAACGCGGGGGTTGAAGCCGGCTGGTGGGGTGACGACGGTTGATCTGTTTGCAGTTGATGAGGGAATTTTCTCCAAAACCAGGGAGGTCTTCTTCGTCTCTCTCGTCGTGTGGGAACGATTTCTGATAAATCTTCTTCATGATACCCCTGCACATGAACAAAACGTCTCTTTTCTTTTTCTCTTTGTCAATAACAAGATCCTTCTGCTGTACAAAAGATTCTCTTAACGGATACAACCAAGACGCGAGGTGTTATTGGGGCCCAAAGGACGGCGGGATGGGATAATTGTGATTCGGAACTCTGGATGAAGCGGGAGGCCAGGGGCATCTTTTGCATGAGCCATTTGCATTTTTTTTATTTACTTGTTCTTTTGACCCTCAATGTAGGGGTTACCCGGCATTACGCCCAGTCGAAACCTTTTCTATTGAATGTAATACTATTACACGGTACTCTTGGACGGGAGGGAGGAGCGGCGTAATGAGAGCATCAAACAACTAGGGGGAGGCGAAGGCCTTCGAGATTGAGGTCGCTGGCTGAGGAGAAAACAGCAGAGTATTGTGAGAGCCATAGTCCAAGTCGGTGATGGGATAGACCATCGCGCGATGACTGAGCATATAGCCATTCGATAACGAAATCACCTCAACCTTATGAATGTCTGCCTTTTCTCATTCCATAGCCAACGCCATTTGGTACCTTCTTACATACTTGATTGACATGCCCTTGACGAGCGCTCAAGGCCTTTCATTTACTTCATCATGACTTTGCTCATGAGTGTATGTTTTTCATCAGTAGCGGTAATGCTTTAAAAGTATCGAAGCAGCGTCAAATTTGATGGTAACATCACGCAAGAAATATAAGAGATTTGACCAAGGCGATTCAAATCCAAGGTACCTTAGGTATGTATAGATAGATAGATATATATATATGTACGCCAGTGACGGTCACAATATGCTCAACCTCGACTAGATACCAAAGAAGAGTTCACCCCCAGTGGGGGCTACTTCTCTGGTGCTCAGGCTGGGAATCGAACTTGAACTGTAGCCTGTCGTCGAGTAGGCTGTTGGCGTAATTAATTGTTGAGCTTGAACCACTCCATCACCCAGCCAGTCCGACCTGACCAACCGACCTAGGAAGGTGCCTGCTGTGCTGGTGACAGGAATGGGCTTGTGTGCATATATGAAGGCATTGTCTCCTGGTGTATTGTGTTGGACCGGATGAGTATACCCAGGTTCACGTGATCGTGAGACTCAAACAACAACGCCCGCGCCATTCGTTCCCTTTGGTTCATCACCCTCATTTGCCCTTCAATCTCCGGCTCAATCATGCGGCTTGACGCAGTTAAACAGACATACGATAGCAACGTTCAATAAGTTTAGATAAAGTAGGATGATCTCAACAAGGGGATGATATGATACGGTCAGAGCGGCATGCCCCGCATCCGACGCGGGGTAGAGATAGCAATTGAATGATCAGATCTGCAAGGGCGTCCGAACCTCATCCTCCTCTCATGTAAACACTATATGTAGCTCATACGATGTATAAACTCATCAGAAATCATCTGCTCCTTCTTCCCGGGACCATCCTGGCAGCCGGGTTCGGATCGGGTCCATCAGACCAGCAAAAACCACTTACATCCCGGACCTGTCTCGCCCCACTGCCCGCATCCGCATCGGACCCCCGAGCCAACTTCCCGGATTGCACCCGTGATCCCCTCTGCTCCATTGACGTGTGCGACGAGTCTCTCTCCCCGAACCAGCGCGCACAGTCACTCGTAGCCGAGCTCACGATATGGGAGAAGCTGGACAACCTCGTCAACGAAGCGCCCGGCGTCTCGCGACTCGGGATCCCGCCATATGAGTGGTGGTCCGAGGGCCTCCACGGCGTCGCGTCGTCGCCGGGCACAAAGTTTGCAGAGAGCGGCAACTTCAGCTACGCGACGTCGTTCCCGCAGCCGATTGTCATTGGCTCGGCTTTTGATGATGAGCTGGTGGAGGCCATTGGGGCCGTGGTCAGCAAGGAGGCGAGGGCATTTAGCAATGATGGCAGATCCGGACTTGATCTATACGTGAGTGAAGACTGGAATGAAAGGCATCCCACTCAGGTCAGATGTTAACAGAGCCCGCAGTCGCCCAATATCAACGCCTTCAAAGACCCCCGCTGGGGACGTGGTCAAGAAACACCCGGCGAAGACCCATTTCACCTCCAAAACTACGTCGCGGCAATGCTCACAGGCCTCGAAGGATCCTTCGACCCATCCAACAAGAACCTCATCGCGACATGCAAACACTACGCAGCCAACGACTTTGAGCACTACAACGGCGTCGACCGCGCCGGCTTCAACGCAATCATCACGACCCAGGACCTCTCAGAGTACTACCTCCCACCCTTCAAAACGTGCGCCGTCGAGAAGAACGTGGGCTCCTTCATGTGCAGCTATAACGGCATCAACGGCACACCCTTATGCGCCAACGCATATCTCCTGGAGGATATCCTACGCGGCCACTGGCGATGGAACGGCGAAGGCCAATACGTCTCCACGGACTGCGACTGCGTCGCTCTCATGGTCTCGTACCACCACTACGCGCCAGATCTCGGACACGCTGCCGCGTGGTCGATGAAGGCCGGAACGGATCTGGAGTGCAACGCCTTCCCCGGCTCCGAGGCCCTGCAGCTGGCGTGGAACCAGTCCCTTATCTCCGAGGAGGAGGTTGATCGCTCTCTGACGAGGATGTATACGGCGCTCATCTCCGTCGGCCAGTTTGACTCTGCGCGAGAGCAGCCATTGCGATCGCTGCTCTGGCGAGACGTCGATACGGAGGAGGCGCGGGAGCTCGCTTACAGGGCAGCCGTCGAGGGCTCGGTGCTCCTTAAGAATGATGGGATCTTGCCTCTGTCCGCAGATTCGGGCAAGAAGTTTGCACTCGTTGGGCCTTGGGCAAAGGCTACGACGCAGATGCAGGGTAATTACTACGGCCCGGCGCCGTACTTGATCTCCCCGTATCAGGCTGCTCGAGACCTCGGGCTAGACTTCACGTATACCCTGGGCTCCGAGATCAACGCCTCGGACGACTCGCTTTTCGACGCACTCAAATCAGCAAAGGAAGCAGACGTGGTCATCTTCGCAGGTGGCGTCGACAACACCCTAGAAGCCGAAACACTCGACCGCAAGACCCTGGCTTGGCCTGAACCTCAGCTCGAGCTTCTCCGTGCTCTCGCAGAGATCGGCAAACCCGTCATTGTGCTTCAATTCGGCGGCGGGCAGGTCGATGACACGGAGCTCCTGGCCAGCGACTCCGTCAGCGCGATCCTCTGGGGCGGATACCCAGGTCAGTCCGGGGGCAAGGCCATCTTCGACTTACTCTTCGGACGCGAGGCGCCGTCTGGAAGGTTATCTGTCACGCAGTACCCGGCGATCTACAACGAAGCGGTCCCGTCGACGGACATGAATCTCCGACCGGTACCGGGTAACTCGGGCCTCGGGCGGACGTATATGTGGTACCTCGGCGAGACGCCCGTGCCGTACGGCTTCGGTTTGCACTATACGACCTTTGACGTCGAGCTCAAAGCGCTACAAGAGCCTGTCATCACCACAACTAAACAGCTCATTCTTTCGGAAGACAGCGAGGATGCGTCTCGTGTACCATCATGGCAAAAGACCCTGGAGAGGTCGATGCTGACTGTTGCGGTGACTGTCACCAATGCGGGGAAAGTTACCTCTGACTACGTGGCACTGCTATTCCTCACATCGGATGCCGGTCCCGAGCCCAGGCCGCTCAAGACTCTCGCGGGATACACTCGCTTCAGAAGTATTCAACCTGGCCAGGCCGCCGTGAAGGAGGTCGTCATCACCGTGGAGCGTCTGGTACGGGTCGATGTGCTAGGGAATCGGGTGCTGCATCCCGGATCGTATGAGGTGTTTGTGGACCTGGATAAGAAAGCGGTGCATAAGTTCCACGTGGGTGGTCCAGCGGTGGTGGTTGAGAAGTTTCCACAGCCGAAAGCTTAGAAGTGCTAGTTTGTGGAACGTAGCGGCAGTCGAGTCTCGCAATAATGTAAGGCAGACTAGAAGCCCTGAAGTAAAGATAGTCATAGGTCCTTTCGTCGCTGGGATGCATCGGCCAGTAGCAGTTTCCACCGCTTGCGTGTGATGTTATCGTAGTCATAGACTCTCAAGAAGAGAATGATGCCCGCTGTATAGTGACTCGTAGCAGCTGAACAGAACCACACTCTGGCTGTTTGAACAGTCGAAGGCTAGGCAAGAAAATGGATGAAGTGTCTGGTTTTTTTATTCCAAGGGTCTATTACACTTTTAACTAGGTGTTAAACAACCAACTCTACCCCGAGGCAAGCCAATCCATGATTCGAGGTCGTCTACTCAAATCAACCTCCGATATCATGAATACCATTGCTACGTCTTTCCAAGAAGGTGTTTCATTAGGCGTGTCCCCTCCACGCCGAGACCGACCCGGGTTCGCGAGGGAAGCTTTGCCCTCGCCTTCCGTCGGGCATTCGTATGTGTGTTTTGAGTGAGATTTTAACGCGACACGTTGCGCGACTCTCAGTTGCCATCCAAGCGACGACCAATGTAAGAATGGACATCAGGCACGCAAACATTTGACACATTCGTTGCCAGGTTCTGACACTCGGCGTCCGTATACAACTCGACTATCCCGTCAGTCAGCAAAACCTCCGAATCAATATTCCCCCAAAGTCACACTGCAGAAATAGGAGAAGAAACATCTTACAGCTAAAAACAGGCGTGAGCCCACTCGCCGAAAACTTCTTGTACGTAGAATTATCAATCCCAACCGGAATCCGGTGACAAGCGCCGACATAGTCGGGCGGGATCGCCATGGCCTGTCCTCGCAGCGTGCCCGTCTCCATCTGCAGTGGGTTTCCCGTGCAATCGGAAGCGGCGTCGTAGAACATTTTGATGGTGCCCATGATTGGCGTCGCGGTCGCGGTGACGGCGAAGGCTGCGAGAGCGGCGGTGAGGGTTGTGAGCTGCATTTTTGGTGACGTGGGTAGGTACGTGGTGAAGGGTTGTTGGTGGACCTAGTTTTGGGTATCGAGAAAAGGATCAGAGGTTGAGATTGAAGGAAAGGACATTCCCAAGTATTTAAGTCATTTCATGCGGTGAGGTCACATACCAGGGTTGTCGTCGTTGTTGTGGAACTCTTTCGCTATATTAATATACGATTTCTACGGGGATGGGGGTATACTTGGCGGTCTTGGTCCTCTCCAAGCCTCGAAGCCTCCATTGATCTACAGAGAAGGGCTCGTATTTCCGGTGTTTATTTTCGTTCATGCAAACCGAGAAGATTTACTCCACCAGCCGGCCCTCCCGTTCATCCAGTCAATGGACGAGCAAGGATGGCACTGATCGAATCCGACGATGGTGTACAAGAATAAGGTTTTCGGTAGTGACCGAGACCGACTTTTGAGGCTCTGAAAAAGGGATTCTCTGGAGAAACGGGTCAAATATTCGGAGCCGTCGTGTGAGCTGCCTCAAAATCATGAGAGTAAATGATCAATCGATTCTGTTCTTCAGTAAAGCAGAGCTCTGTCTTGCCGGACTGCTTCATTGCGAGCCTCTCGTGCCTCTCTGAGAAGAATCCAGGCCCAACGCTCTAATGTCTATTCTCCCGCTCCAAACAACAAGACAGTCTCCCTCCTCTCTAGCCTCAATCCCACACTCATCGAGGTCCAAATAAACTCAGCATTGCATCTAAGCTTATCAATACAAGCGTACCTAGTATAGTTTCAACTGACTAATCCATCATCCCAATTCACAAAGGATTCATCGTCTGCCTGCAGGGCAAGTGAAATAGTCAACAATGATTGGCCAATGGCTCCAGGCACCACCAGGCACCGCCAGGCACCAGCTGCGCCTTGATGGCCAGAATGCCTTGTGACTAAGCGGGATGAGGTAAGCCTACTGACCTGTTGGGTACGATGGTCCAAGCGTCTTGACTCTGGATTGCCATACAAGAAGAGGTCCAACGACGCTCAAGAGTTGACGATGGATACCTTATGATAAAGGCTGTCTTGTTATTCCTCTGAAGTGTGTAGCTGAATTGGAGCGTATCCGAGGAGTCTTCGAATTCAGAAAGCAGGTTTCCGTTCCTCGAGTGACACAACAGCAGTCATCCCGAAGCTAGTTCAACTCCACCAAAGCAGCTTTCAACTTACACGAAAACACCAATGCCATCAACGACCGTCGCACAGAATGCTCGCGCAGCCAACAACCGACGCCAAACGCAGGACAACGACCGCCGAAGACCCGAGAGACCAACACAAATCCTCGACATCAACGTATGGGGAAGCGGCGAGAATTGTGAACTAGGCCTCGGCCCGCGCATCACGCAGGCTCCGAGACCTCATACGCAGAAATCTCTCCTGCCCTACGACATTGTCCAGATCTCTGCCGGCGGCATGCATTGCGCCGCGTTGACCAGCCACGGCGAGGTACTGACGTGGGGTGTCAACGACGACGGGGCACTGGGCCGTGTGAAAACTCCAGATGCACCTGAGGAGGGCCACCAGGACCTGCTGGACCCGTTTGAGAGTACACCTGGCCTGGTGCGTTTTGAACATGAAGTCGATATCGTCCAGGTTGCAACGACGAATAGCGCATGCTTCGCTCTTACTTCCGAAGGAACCGTGTACGGCTGGGGTAGTTTTGCTGTAAGTCTATCGGCTTTCTGTTCCCTTCCCACGAGTCCACACTAACAATTTCCAGGGAGGAGACGGCAACTTTGGCTTCCTTTACGATAAACCGCCAAAAACCACCGAGCCCCTACCTGTGCATATTCCCGGCCTAAATAGCATCGTGGAGCTAGCGGGTGGCGCGAACCACGTCCTTGCTCTCACTCATGACGGCGACATCTTTGCTTGGGGGTCCGGCGAACAGAACGAACTAGGCAGACGCCTCCTCGCTCGTCGCCGCTTCGAGAGCCTTATTCCCCAACGCGTAGGCTTGCCTAGGCACCAGACGGCCAAAATCTTTGCAGGGTCGCACCATAGCTTCGTCATTGACGTCCACGGAAAAGTCTGGGCCTTTGGGTTGAATAACTTTGGCCAGTGCGGCGTCCCGACACGGGAAGACACTGGCTTTACGACAATCATATCTCCAACAGTCGTCAAGAGTCTTGAGGGATACTCGATCCACCACATCGCCTGCGGTCTTCACCATTCCATTGCTTGCACCAGCGAAGGAGAAGTCTTGGTTTGGGGTCGGTGCGATGACGGCCAAATGGGTATCGATCTAAACGCCGTGCCCCACGACAACATCATCTTCGATTCGAGAGGGGAGCCAAGAGTACTGAATGTCCCGACCGTCGTTCCTGGTATGTTTCTTTCAGCTTTAAGCCTAAGCTCCAAAGCTAATTGCTCCCTTTTAGTATCTGGTGCCGACTTTGTTGCGGCTGGAATCGATAATTGCTTCGCAGTTTCTCGAGGTGGTGACGTGTTTGCTTGGGGGTTCTCAGTCAGTCATAATACCGGACTTGCCACAACTGAAACCGTGAGAGAACCGACAGAGATGCGTCGCAGTAGTCCTCGGACGTTCGTCGATGCGGGCGGCCAGTTTGGTATCTCAGCAGGACCAAGCTTGCGTTGAGCTTTCAAAGTATCCTTTTGTTTGTTTTTGTGCCCCTTCACACAATGAGGAAGTTGAGGTTCGAAGCTCTTAGCTTTTGAACCCATGTGCGCTCCGTCTGCGTGTCTGGGTCCACAGACTCCTCGAGGTTCCAAATCGTCTGCAAAGTGTCCATGGCGGTCATGATGAAGCCCCAAGGGGTCGCAATCATGAGTCTTTTCAGCCGATCAAGAATCCACTTTCGTCTTTCCGGGTCAGACGTCCCGGCACCAGCAATGAACGTCGGCAAACATGTTGCCTTGAAATTTGGGTCTTCGTCGTGAATACAGGAGAGGTGGTAAAACATCTGACTGTCCAGCTCATCGCGGTCGACGGGCACCAGGATCGAAGCGGACGGAAGGGCGTGCAGGATGTACAAGCACGCAGCAAGTCTGTGAGCGGAACCTGCATGGATTCGACTTTCTACCGGGATGTGCTTGAAGTAGGAAATGGTACGCGGCTCATAAGCCCAGTCGTGCGTATCGAAAGACAGGGCCTGCTCTAGCAGTTGCGCTGCGGCCTGAGCTATGGATGCTGCAGACTCGAGGTCATCCGTGGGTTGGTTTGACAGTTGCGATGCTGCCAAGAGAATTTGCAAAACGTCAGGCGGACAGCAGAGGTAGCTGTTGGCAGCAGCTCTGCCAAGCACGGCAGAGGCCTGAGAGGCTTGGTAGTAGGACTTGGCAGTTGGTGTCTCCCGGTTGAAGGCGGAGGCCAAGATATAATAGCTGTGGTGGACATGTATTAGTTTAGATGATTCATTACCTCACCCAACATCGAATACATGAACTCACATGAAGCAATCTGACATGACATAATCCCGTAAGGCGACATCTGCGGTGGAGGCGGGGCTCAACAAGGTCATAATTCGGCCCGCGCCTTCGAGATGGGGTTTCCAACCGCCGTGCCCGCTCTCAATCAACTCCACGTTGACGAAGAAGAGTACGGAGGCTAGGACCACGTCCCCGCCGACGCCGCCAATATCCTGTAGGGCTGAGGAGAGCAGGCGCAGGGCCTTGTGCTTGGCTACCAGGGCATCGGTTAAGGCTTGCCGAGCGTTTAGATCGGACTCTGGATCTGAGGACAAGGCGCGGGACAAATTAGACATGTGGGCTGCGGAGGCGGCGACGATGATGTGCTGCAGCAAGGGGTGTGCTTTTGTCAAGGGGATCAGGGAACGGAAGGGGTTCCTGTCTGGGAGGTCCCAGGAGACGAGATCCCTACAGACGCGGGTAGTGACTGCGGAAGCGACCGAGTTAGCCGTTCTAGCGTCTTCCCGAGAGATTGGATGAGGAGGTGTAAATTACAGTAGGAGAGGTAGTGGCGGTAGTGATGCTCCACGCCCTGGAAGAGAGGATCGACGAGGGTCCAGGGTGCCGACTGGGTCTCGGTGCCGGCGGGCCGGACGGCAGAGACGACGAGCGCAGTGGAGTCGTTTTCGGCAGATTCGGCAGAGGCCGGAGGGTCCTGGGGCTGGACGCCCGAAGCGGAAGAAGCGGGGGAAGAAGAGACTGAGGGCTTGAGCTCAAAGGTGGAATTCCGCGAGGTCGGGACCAAGGCGGTGGTGGTATCGGCCGAGAAGGTGATGGAGGTCTTGCCGGCGAGCTTGCCGCGGCTGGCGACGCCCTCTGTCCAACGAAAGAGCTTCCCGTAGCCAAGACATTCCTGTCCGCCGACTGTACACTTGTGACAGTGGGGATAGGAGCGGTCACAGCGGAGGCGGCGGCGGCGACAGTTGTGGCATGGCTTCGTCGGGGCGTTGAGCATCTCGATGCGTGACATTGCAGCTGGTTGCAGGTAGCCGCAGGTACAGCTATCAGGGTGCGCGTCAGCGCGAGTGCGAGAGTGGGCGGCCGGCGATGCAGGCGTGTGCGCGGTATCCAGACTCTAGACTCTGGAGTGAGGTAATCTCGAGTCTCGGCGGGCGGTGGGTAAGGTTCCCGTCGTCTCCCCAAAGGCCCCAAAGGCGCAGGCTCAATCCAGAAACGGAAGTAAGCTGTCTTTGTGGTAACGATAACGTAAAACGAACAGGGTCAGACAAAGCTTGATTTAGTCAGAGGGCGCCGGACGGTTTGTCGAGGCGGCTCGTGAGAGGATGTTGGTGGTGGTTTCTATGGGAAGCGGTGATTGTGACCGGGTAGTGGTTCGGTTGACGCAGATACTGCCTCAATGGAGAAAAGAAGCGTCAAGACATGCATGACAAGTATGTCCAAGATTGGTAATCGGAGGGGTCCTGTTGTACTGGTGAAGGCGGGGATGCCAGATGAACGTCAGAGCCTCAGAGTGCTCGGTTTGCGCCAGCTCGGAGGGGAAGCGAGATCAGATTGGGTGAGGATTAGGAGGGTTGTCAGATAAGGTGACGTTGAGCAACGGTTTCATGCGGAGGATGGAGAGTCCGAGACTCCAATGCTCCAGCCCTTGTGTACAGTGGGTAGATTGTCGATTGGAAATGATATGGCGGTGACGCTGTTGGCCTGTTGCTGCTGCTGCTCGAGGTTGTGGTGACGGGAATCGTGAAGCGTCGATTCGGTGGCCGAAGTCACCGGCACGCAGATACCGTCCGATAAGAACCGATAAGATGGCACACTACCTAGTCTCAATCTGGAAGCCAAGCAACAATTCGTGCATTTCCTGTCTCCACATTTTCTTCTCGAAGACGAACAGCACGGACAGTAAAGATGACGCTTGGTTCGTCAAAAAGCACTGACTTTGCTGAGTCATCACATCTCTGACAGATGCACTAGACCCAATCAGGCCTCTTGCGTCTGAAGAACCCCACAGAAATCGTTCCATGTTGCGACAAAGAACCAACCAGAAGAAACGATGTGTCAAACGCACTCACTTTCGGAGAGAAGTTCGCATCTTCGCATCTTTACCATGTCCACACGGAGTAGTACACCACCACTTGCAACACCCTGACACCTCGAATTATTGTGTCATCATATCCAAGGGCGTCATTTCGGTCGTCACCAAGCAGCAGACACGCAGGTCGCATACCAAACAGAGGCAAACTAAGCGATCGAGGACCCTTGGCCAAGACCGACAGGCAGACCCTCTCTCGTGATTCATTTCCCGTCTCAACTGCCAAAGTTTCGTCCCTCGAGCTGACTCAACGCGTAGTAGTCTTCCTGAGCTTAGCAAGCCTAGCAAGCTTAGCAATTCTGGCACTTGTCGCTTAGAACCACTGCGCAACAAAGAACATGCTGCCACAAATCTTCTGTTCCAAGACCCGAAACGGTGGCAGTTCTTTGCCGAGAAGGGCAGCCAAGGCGCACGCCATGCTCCAACGACCCGTCTCCCGCACTTCTGTCACCTTTCGAGCCATGTGAGGCTTCTACGCTTCTCTGCCCGCGGGCTGGAACCTTGAGGAGCCAAGCTGGACATCTGGGACGACGGTGCCCCATCTAGGCCCGTGGGTTTGTTTGTCTTCCCGGCGCTGGTCGTTGATCCTAGGCCAGATGCAAATCCTGACGCTCCATGTCTCCATTTCTCCACACCAGATGGCAAGAGGCCACCCCCGATTAGAAATTCTCTGCGTCAAAGAGCTTTCCTTTGATGGATCGATGACCTGCTCCTGGATGCTATTTAGATCTTGGAGGGACCCATTACCATGCATCCCGTGCCTATCTGGTTTTTCCTATTGTCAAGCGATGTGTTGATATGACTGAGAAGATCTTTACGATAAACATAATAGACTCTTTGTAACTGTACACTACAAAATACCCTGAAGATACATAGCGCAAAAAGACCAATGACACAGCGCGACAATACCGACCGGGAAGCCGGCTCCGGCGGCCAACCTACGGAATTCGACGTCGAGTTTCTCGGCCGACAACGCCCGGCCGTCTTCAAGTCCCAATGGTCCGAACTGGGCTTCTGCTTTTCCCTTTTGGGATCCATGTTGATGGCTGTAAGTCTGACTTCGCAATACTACAAGATAAAGGACATCTTCACTTTGAGGCGTATGGACTCTAATTTACAACCCAGGAATACTTTGTCAGTGGCTTTCACATCATCCTCCCGCCCCTCGCCGAAGAGCTCGACATCCCCGCCGCCTCCCAAACATGGCCCTCGAGCGTCTTCTCTCTCGTCACCGGCGCCTTTCTCCTCCCGCTCGGCAGGCTGGGTGACATGTACGGCGGCTACCTGACCTTCAACATCGGCCTCGCCTGGTTCTTCGTCTGGTGCCTCGTCGCCGGCTTCAGCAACAACTACATGATGCTCATCGTCTGCCGAGCCCTCCAAGGCCTCGGCTCCGCCGCCTACCTCCCCGCCGGCATCATGCTGCTTGGCAAAATCTACCGCCCGGGGCCCCGCAAGAACCTCGTCTTTGCCCTGTACGGTGCCTTTGCGCCCATCGGCTTCTTCTTTGGCATCCTCATCGGCGGCGTGTCGGGCCAGTTCCTCAACTGGCGTTGGTACTTTTGGCTCGGCAGCATCGTCCTGGGTATCATTGCCGCCGTGTCTTTCATCACGATCCCGCACGACTACGGCGATAAGCGCCAGGAGATCCGCATGGACTGGTGGGGCGTCGCGACCATCGTTCCCGGCCTACTGCTCGTGGTTTATGCCATCACCGACAGCTCACACGCGCCCCAGGGCTGGGCGAGCCCCCAGATTCTCGTGACGCTGATTTTGGGCGTCGCCTTCCTCGTGGCGGCGTGGTACGTCGAGAGCCGCGTATCTGCGAACCCTCTGCTGCCAGGTGACCTCTTTGCTCCCAAATCCATGAAGACGCTCGTGGCCGCCCTCTTCTTCGCCTACGGCACTTTCGGCCTCTTCCTCTTCTACTCAAGCTTCTACATTGAGACGGTGTTGCACAAGTCGCCGCTGCTGACGGCTGTGTGGTACGTGCCCCTCATCGTCGGCGGCATCATGATCGGCACCGTCGGCGGCTTCACGCTACACCTGCTTCCCGGCAGAGTGCTCCTCGCCATCTCGGGCACGGGCAACCTCCTGAGTGTGCTTCTGTTCGCCATCATGCCGGATAACCCAAACTACTGGGCCTACGTCTTCCCCGCCATGATCTGCGGCACAATCGGCATCGACATTACTTACACGGTCAGCAACGTCTTCATCACGACCAACCTACCCAGCCACCGCCAGGGTCTCGCCGGCGCGCTCATCAACAGCCTCCTGTTTCTGGGCATCAGCTTCTTCCTCGGCATCGGCGACGTCGTGGTCGGCGAGACGACCGGCCTGGGGCTCAAGAAGAGCTACCAGGCGGCCTTTTGGCTGGCCACCGGCGTCGCTGCCGTCGCGCTGGTGCTCTACGCTCTCGTTCGCATCGGTTCCGCAAAGAGCGACCTCACGATGGAAGAGCGCGAGCAGCTCGCCGCGGCGGACGCCGAGGCTCGATCACGGTCATTGGATAACACGTCGACGATGCACGAGGATGCAAACGACCAAGACGCTTCGGCGACAGCGACCGACACCGATGCGGAAAAATGCAGGCCGTCTGCGCCGGAGGAACAGGTCCCGGGGAGGTGAAAGAGCAATCGACCATAAGAACTTTTACGACCGTCACGTCTTTGATGAATATTCTCCTTCCAACCTTGGTTGTTGACCGCCTCGAGAAGCTTGAAAGAAGAAGGCGCACGCATAACGTCGTATGGAACTAGACAAATTAATTGATTCGGAGGTGTGGAGACTGGGAGAGGGCAAAACCAATATGTTTGCCATGCAGGAACAAGATTGGGTAATACGCCGCGCCAACCTCCAGGTTCCTGGTGGAGGGGTGAGGATCATCCATCACGAGGACAGAATTCTTCGGGCGCAGAAATTCCACCGGGGACCTTGAGGTAAATACTGTGCGAAAACGAACCAGGCGATGCGTGTTACGACTTACGCACTCGAGAGTCACGGAAGGCAGAGAGACTTTCTGCCTCGCACCCCCGAGAAGCCGCGGTTCTGAGGACATCCATCGACAGGCCCAAAAAAAAGAGGCAAACTCCACACAATAATTCTGGAGTCCGCGGAATCTCTTCAAGGCTCATCATCTCATGGGCGGAGGTTGCATTGAAATGCGCTCAGCCTGATTTCCTCACCAAGAAATTCTACCCAGGCTCGTACCGCCAGCCAAGTTTTCTGTGTGAGCGGCGCGCGGGAGCGGGAGAGAAGCACGTCTTCCTTAGCCGTCGCCACTGTTCCTGAACGCCGAGATTTGAATAATACAGGGGAAAACAGCAGAGCCAAGACAGATTAACGCTCTGCAGCCTCTGGAGGCTCTTCCAAGACTCCCATCGAAAAGTCTTGGGAGCCCAGGGTTGGAAACTGCCAACTCTCCGAGATAACCGTCTTGGCAACGCTTCTTGGCATTGTCGATTCACAGTGAGAAGGCTGAGTGAGTGGTGGGAACGACGACATGGCATCTACAGGTATACTATGCGGCGATGCGCAGGAGACTGCCATTGGGGTGTGGGAATTGCATGTATTGGAGACTTGGAAATCCCACCCAAAGAAAGGCAAATGCGCTGATCGGTGTGGGTTTGGCTTACAAAGTTACAAAGAAAGAGGGGGGATGGGAGCATGAGGTTAATTAGGCACGTTTTGGGTTTCCCATCAATGCTAGCACAGCAATTTTTGAATGTCTACCTCATCGCTGTACCACCTCACATAAATATCAAGGTACGAATACAGATACTGTTAAAGATATATTGTCACATTGTGCAGGGCTCAGACCATGAGACCAGGGCGGCGCATGGAAACGCAAATGATTGCTGGATACGTGAATAAAGGAGCCCAGAGGGGGTGTGGGGTTTTCATTGAGTCGCCAATGAGCAACAATCTACGCAAGTTTCACCAACAAGTCTACCACTCTACCACTCTACGTCAGTATACAATGTTCTGACTGGTGGCCCTATTCTTGTCCGTAGTAGTGCACATCCATGATCTGCCTTGCTTTACACTATTCTGGCGACCTTATGCTTATTCGTGGACTCTGAGTCCGAACGATGTAGTAGAGAGAAACCTCCCACCGGCTTGGGGCATTGAGCAACCACACGACCAAATACAACAACTCCAGGTCACCTGTCACTGTTCAGTGCAACCAAAAACTACACCCCGATTCCCCGAAGAACATCGGCCTGTCCATCGTCCGAAGTACGCCGCCGTGTCCAGCGGTCAGGATCGGCCGGTGGGGTTCAACTTGACCTGGGTCCGTGTGCTGTTGCGCTCATCCGAGTGTGAGGGACTGCTATGAAGACCCTCCCGACGTAAGGGGTCCCATCTTCTTTTCGAGATGGACACACGCCTCGACCCCGTCCAGTGTCAGGGGGAGCCCGCAGCAGCAAAATCCATTTCAGGGAACGATCCGGGTACGCGCCGATGACTTCCATTCCGTTCCAAAATTGGCAGCTCCAGCGCCAAAACATGAAAGTCAAAAGAACCGACATTCAAGGTTTCGGGGCGCTAGAAATTTAAGGTAGGCGCCGGGGAAGAAGACGACATCGGTAGAACCGTAGAATAAGCATCGGGAAAACGGAACGGACGGCTTCCAGAGACGAAGAGATTCAGATCACATACGGCAATGGTCAAAATAAGCATCGGAGAACGGAACGAACGGCTATTAGTAGGCTGTTATACTGCCGCAATAGGATGGACCACAAGAGCTCAGCAGGACGACCCCAGATATTGAGAGCGATAGTTGGCATGGTTAATTCGTACATGTTCCAAACTAGCATCGCGAAAGCCAAGAAAAAGAGGTGACATTCCTCTGCCGCTTTCCAAAGTCCCAAGACCTCGAGAAAGCCCAGGCCACGCAACTCTTCTCCCTGGGGTTCGTTCTCGAAATCAAAAAGGCTTGGTACTCAATAAAAGTATTGTGCAATATGCGACTTTCCTACACCAATCTCCGCGCCGCCCATGTCCGACAGCTCGATGTTGAAACAGGACTGTTGACCATATTAACAAACCGTGGCGAGAGACAATGGAAAATAGGGATGCGTACACCCCAATGGTGCGGAACACGCCAAGCAAACCGAGGGCCCCAGCTGCAGCCTGCGCGTCCGACAAGGCCAGTGCCCAGGCCCGGGAAGAGGAAGCAAGAAAACTTGGTTGCTGGTGTTTCTCTGGCTTTGCTGAACTCAGTTGCTATTGACTCATAGCTATCGAAGCAGTTCGGGGCACCTACCAAGAGGAATACTAAACCCAAATAATAATATTGAGATCCGGGAACCAAGTCCGGGTTGCTGGTCTTCGGCTCCGGCACACATTTCACGACATCAAGCTTTCCCACAGTCCGATGTCTTCTATGGAGGTTAGGCCCGGCAGTTCAGTGCCTGACAGGTCTCCGCGCTTTCTTTTCTCCAGCAAGATCAGTTGACCTAGCAGCACCCAAGAAGGGGGTAAAAGGGGGCGGAGGAGCAAAGAAAAATCTCCTGTAATCCCGTGAAGAGCTCCACCGTGTTCTCCACGATCTGGTTGATTCAGGGAGGCAGAACCTGCATGTCTCCGACTCTCAGTACGGAGTAGCCTGCTATGACCACTGACGACGAGTCACAAAACTGCTGGCCTGTCTGCTGGCAGTGCTGAGCAAGCGTGGCAGGCAGAAAAAGGAAGCGGGGGGGTGTATCCCAACTGGGCATTCCGTAGGCCTTGCTTGCTTGCAGTGCTTGCGTAAATGCGGGCTGCTGCGGACAATAAGCGCCACGCTCCGGCGGACAGGGTTGGCTGACAATCTGGCAGTTGAATGACGGGAGTGACAGCCTGCATATCCCACGCATCCTCGCCGCAGACTATGCAGAGAAAGAGAGAGAGGCGTTCTAACTGGTGCGACAACCTGAACCTGAAGCTCTGAGATGGCCCGGGCATAAGGCGCAGGGACGAACTCCATCTGCCAGTGTCATGTGTTGGCTGAAGTGCTCTTGGTGCTCAGATAGTACCGGCGTAAAGCCTTTCGAAGCTGTCAGGGAGTTGGCTAGTTGTGAAGCGCCACCAGCATGACACGACTCTGTGAGCTGCCGTGAGAGCTTCCGCGTAACAACACTCAAGAGTCAAGAGTCGATATTGATGTGAAGAGTCAAGCTCGCCACGACTTGACGCTAGGTGACGGAGAAATACCTTATCTGAGACAGATCCTTGCCCCCACAACTCTACCTGATTTTAAATTTAATATACGCCGGGACCAAGAACCCCACTTGAGCCATTCCCGTTCTGTATCCCTGACACCCTCAACCCCGGTGGGTTGACCCCCGAGCCGCCGACCCAACGACAACGACAACGACCCAGAATTCCTTCTCTCCAGTCTCCATCTTGCCTACGGTCCATCCTCCGGCCTCCGGCCGACGGGTCTGCCCCCGAACGTGGGAACAATAGGACGAAAAAGGAAACCAACGTAAACGACCACACGCCCCCTCCCCTGGTGCCTTCAAGCCCTTGACAACTAGACGACATGACTTCCTCATTCCAGCTAGCGCCCTCGTCTGACGGTCTTCTTCTGTCCATTCCCGGAATACACCAAATCGATTAAACAACTGGACCCTGCGGTAAGTGGGAGTTGCTGGTTGTTCAACTCCGTCGGTGAATTCATCTGGGAAAAACCTAGGAGGAAAATTTGTAGCCGCGTCCGCAAACCTGCAGAATATGAGGGGGAGGTCCTGGAATTCTGCTCACCTATTCACGTGTTTTTTTCTGTCTGTATCCTTTTTTCTGCCTCCATCCCCCCTTTCGGACCCAAACTTGCTCATCCCACACTATTGAGCGACTGCCGTAATTGAAGGGACCCATCTACTCCGTACGGAGGCCTCGAGTGCGTTTTCTTCTTCTGCTTTTGTCCGAAAATACTGACTTGATGCCCTGGACCCGGGTAACTGACGTCGTCACCGGGGAACCAGTATTGAGGCTCTTTCTTCCGATGGCTGACAACTCCACCCACGGTACTGGGCCTGATCCGATGCCCAGTGGCCCCCGTCACCATTTTTTTTGCCGTGATCTGATCCGTGAGTAGGAAGAGCCGAAGAGTTTTCCGTGGATCACTAGATCATACGGAAGAAAAGGAATCATCATTGAAATCCTTCTAGTCTATCCGTGTTCTCCTCACAATGATACCTACAACCCATCCCATGTTCTCGGACTCCCTCCATCATGGCTCCATATTCACTTGCTCTCCACACCACCCCTGCAACATGTCGTCCGCCCTTCTTCTTTTTTTTCATCCCATCAATCATCCCCTGGCTTCATTTCGAAGCCCACATCCCTCTATATACCCTGGCTCGTTTCCAAACGTCAACTCGCTCTTACTGGCTTAGTTCGTGTCTTGGCGGAATATCGACCAAACACCTCCTGGCCTGCGTTTCTCCTAGACAAACGAACCACCATCTCTCAGCTCATACCACGCCCACCACCACGCACAGGAGTGACACCACATGGTCGACCTCTTTTAGGCTTTCCGTCCCGTCTATTCGTGCGATTTCCAAGTTCGAGATCGCGGGCCCCGGGTACCGCTTCACTGCCACCGTGACATTGGACCGCCCGTGCTTCATGCTGCCAGCAACCGGCATGTACCTTCTTGGGTCTTCTACTCTGCCCACTGCTTCCTTTTCAGGTTGATGTCCAATATACTACAAGCTCTCTCGTGTTTCGTCCCTTTCCCGCCCTATGTATCCGTAGTGTATTTCGTACCGCCAACCTTCTCCATCATCCCCTGCGCCTGACGCGATGAGCAGCGTGATCAATGAATGTACTCTATCCCGTGGTCTCTGTATACCAAAGCCCACCCAGACATACACCCCTCCCCCTCCCCTTCTCTTGATGTTTCTCCACCCACGAGTGCACCCATCACGACTCTCTCTCCGCCGAGGACCTCCCAACATGTGGCCCAAGCCTGTCTAGTCCCAGGCAAGGCACCACGCAAGTGCCAAGCCCCAAAGCGTCGAGAGCCTCCTCCTACCTTACCTTACTGCTCGGCCTGGGTCCCGCTCGTAGCCTTCAATACCACCATGATCCTCGCCAAGACCAGGGATATGCCAAGATGCGCACGCGTACGCAAGCCATCACCCCCCTTCCGGGAGTCTCCCAGACTGGACCAGAGAAGGAAGAGATGAACAGTACTGCAGTCTGCAGGACAAGGCCTGCTCGAGTTTCTCCAGAAGAGCCCAAAGGAAAGGGTCTTGGCCCTTGGCAACAGAAGCTTAGCCAAGAGATGTCTTGGCTCTGAATACTTAAGAACCATCCTCCTCCGGCCCTCATACTCACTTACCCTTTCGATCTCCATCCCGCTTCACTTCCAACTTCTTCAGTCCTTCAGCTCTTTCGCGCTCTTTGCATTCGTTCTCTCAGTAACCTCACTGTCAATACCTTCGTTCGACGTAGACCGTCAACCCCATTCTCTATTACAACCACTATCAACCAACCACACAACTAGCACCCCAGCTTATTAACGAAAAGAAGTCAATATGAAGTTCTCTATCGCCTCCTCCATCGCCGTCCTGGCCGCTCTGGCCAACGCCACCCCGACTCCCACTGTCGTCGGCGGCAACGCCGTCGACCCCCGTGCCGTCGAGAAGCGCGCCACCATCACTGACGCCTGCGACGTCGGCTACGGCGCCGGCACCACTGGTGGCTCTGGCGGTACCACCACCACCGTCTCCACCCTGGCCCAGTTCACCGCGGCCGCCACCTCCTCCGACAAGGCCGTCATCGTCGTCAAGGGCGCCATCACCGGCGCCGCCAAGGTCAAGGTCGGCTCCAACAAGTCCATCATCGGTGCCAAGGGCTCCTCCCTCACCGGCGTCGGTCTGTACATCAACAAGCAGGAGAACGTCATCGTCCGCAACATGAAGATCAGCAAGGTCCTCGCGGATAACGGCGACGCCATCGGCATCCAGGCCTCCTCCAAGGTCTGGGTCGACCACTGCGAGCTCTCCTCCGACCGTGACAACGGCAAGGACTACTACGACGGTCTCCTCGACATCACCCACGCCTCCATGGCCGTGACCGTCTCCAACACCTACCTCCACGACCACTACAAGGGCTCCCTCGTCGGCCACTCCGACTCCAACTCGGCCGAGGACACTGGCAAGCTGTACGTCACCTACGCCAACAACTACTGGAAGAACATTGGCTCCCGTGTCCCCTCCGTCCGCTTCGGAAACGTCCACATCTTCAACAACTACGAGGAGAGCATTGACACCTCCGGTGTCAACACCCGCATGGGCGCCCAGGTCCTCGTCGAGTCCTCCGTCTTCTCCTCCGTCAAGAAGGCCATCACCTTCCTCGACTCCAAGACCACCGGCTACGCTACCGTCTCCGACGTCGACCTCGGTGGCTCCACCAACGACGCCCCTGCCGGCACCTTCACCAAGCCCGACTACTCCTACTCCAAGCTCGGCTCTGCCAAGGTCAAGGCCTCCGTCGTCGCCTCCGCCGGCCAGACCCTTTCCTTCTAAGTTACTAGTTGTCCTTAATAGTGGTGTGAGAATTGCTGCAATCAGCGCTGCCGGCCGTGGGATGTTTGTGTCCCCGGTTGGAAAGTACTAGGAAGAAGTACGGAATTCATGTAAATACTTTTCTCTCTCAAGGCATCAGACAAGGCCCTTGGCCACCTGGTTCTGTAGATACAAGTTGCCGGTTTCAACACACTCTTATTTTCCAGATGCAACGTGAACGTGACGGTCATTAAATGTTTCTCTGCTTCGGTGGCGACGAATAATAAAGGGGCAGAATGATTAATCTTACATTGATGGTTATTCTCCAAATACCGGCCGACATCTTGTGGCTTGATTCAACCATATCACCCAAGGGAACCATGGTAGTCAAAGGACTTGGTGCAGCAGAGCAAGAAATCGATTCTGATAGGTTTCTAGGTAACTCTGTTCCTACGTAGACATACTCGTGGGTCACTCATTGGAAAGACTGGAAGAACTGTCCCCAACACCCCATTACATGGGCTTGCAGCCAGGTGGCAGCTTCGGTTCCTAATTGCCCTTTCTGGTCACGCCGACCTCGTTCCAGGCACCCCTCACGATCTTGCCTGCCTCGTCTCCATACAGCTCCTCTGCGATCTCCGTTGTCACATCGGCAAACTGGATGAACGTGCACTTGGGAGGAACACGGCCCGAGTTCATAGTCTTCCACCAGATGGGACCAGCCTTCTCGTACGAGAAACCACCAAAGCCCTTCGCCGCAAGATAGAAAGCCTTGTTCGGAATGCCTGAGTAGATGTGGACACCGCCGTTATCCTCGAAAGTCGGAACGTAGTCCTTGAAATGAGCTGGCTGAGGATCCTTTCCGAATCGCGGGTCGTCATATGCAGTGCCAGGTTCCTTCATGCTCCTGAGAGCAACACCCTTGACACCGGGCATGATGCAGCCTTCGCCAATGAGCCAATCGGCTCTCTCTATTATGGTTGTCAGTAATGTCACCGCCGTGATTGGCATTTTCCACTGACCGGCATCCTCCTTTTCGACAATCTGCTTCACGATGATGCCGAAAACGTCGGAAACGTGCTCATTGAGAGCTCCGCTCATTCCCTGGTAGTCGAGGGGACTGGTGTGCTCAGTCACAGCGTGGGTGAGTTCGTGGCCGATGACGTCGATGGTTCCAGTGAAGTTACTCAGGAACTCTCCGCCGTCTCCGAACACCATCTGCATACGCTCTGGGTCCCAGACTGTCGTTTACTGTCAGTACAGTCCTAGAAGTTCAGATGAACAGAGAAAAACAGTACTTACATGCGTTCTCGTATTTCTGACCGAAGTGGACCGAACTGATGACATGCATGTTCTTGTTGTCGATGGAAATCCAGTTGAACTTTTCCTTGTACATCTTCAGTACCTCGCCAACATTGTCAAAAGCGTCATTGACTGCCTTGTCGTCGACAGCCTTTTGGCCCTCTACACGAACCACATCACCAGGCAACTTGCTCTCGTTCTCGGTGTTCTTGGCGTCATAGATAGCCCGGTAGAACTTGTCGTCCTTCTTACCGGCAGTGGCAGCGAGGGTAACCTGGTCCTGTGGACCTCCGACTTCGCCCTGCTGAACCTGCTGGACCTTTTGCTGAACACCTCTTATGTGGTCAAGATCTCTCTTGGCACAGGCTCTGGTGTCATCGTCGACGTCCGTTGAATCGGCAATGTGCTGGAGCAAGATATCAGGGACGATGGAAGGGCGGGAGTGGGAGGAGAGCTGGTGACGCTGGGCGCGGGGACCACCAAGAATGGCAAGGCGCTCGGCACGACGGGTAGTGAACTGCTCGCGAAGGCTCAAAGCCTGTCTCGCAGCATGACGCGTATGCTCGCTATTGCACTCGGCGTCGGCGATGGCCTTGAGCAGGTGGGGAGGCACGACGTAGCACACGTGATCGGCCATGATGAATGACTAGGTAGTATCAGAGTTGGTGTGGAAAGACAGAATATTCGGTGAATGTCTTGGCGAGAAGACTCTGGTAGAGGCTGTGAAATTGAAGTTGCGAGGATATCAAGAGAAGTGTGAGATGTTGAAGGTTGAGTGAGGATGTAAGAAGAAGAGAAGATGGTATCGAGGACGTCGGGGGGATGGCCTCTTAAGGGCAATAGCTCGGTGAGGAGTCGAGGGGCGATGAAGGTGAGGAAAGGTGGACTGGTGTCTGCCTGTCTTTCTGTTGCCTGCCGTGTATCACTTTGAGACTTGCTGAAAACGCGGGCTGGAAATGAGGCAAGTGCAGGTTTCCAAGTTTGGGGATTGGATCCAGTTGTCTGTCTGTATGCGCCAGTTGGTGTTGTTGCTCAGCCTTGAAGAGGCAGCCATGCAATGCAACCTTCCTGGGACTTGTTGTCTTATCGCTGGCAGCTTTGCCTGGCCCTATCAGAATAGAGAAGGCCAAGACATGGCGATACAGCTGTCGTCCGAAGGCCAATGTGACTGCGTGACGGGGGGCCAGAGCTGTCCCAATGGGGTCGGCATTCGTGACCTATTGGTACCCCTCTTCACATCGGACAACCCACTTCTCCATCACGAATCCATCATGGGCTTTTCTACGTAAGCCGCGGGGTCGAGAAGGTGTCTTTACCCGGAGAGACCAAACAATCTTGTATTCAAGTTGTCACTGGTGGCTTGAATGCCATATTTGCAAGGTGCGAAAGGTACATATGTCAAGGAGCAAAGAGCCGGAGTTGAAGCAACGTAATGGAAGCAATGACAAACAATGCGAAAGCGACCACCTCAGATGACGACCAAGGTACCGATAAGATAAGAGCTCCAGATACCTACCTTAGGTACCTTAGGTAGGCGCGGGACTGGGGCGCAGCGGGTGCCACCCACATGCCGTGACCAGGTGTTCATGTCCAGGGGACGTGTAACTTGGTAAACGAGGCAGGAATGTGGCACAAGTCAGAGGAGTCGATGGGAAGGCGAGACGGCAGATCAAGAAAAGCTTTCCCGAAGGCTGAAAGCTCCCCGGAGCGTTTGTTGTGGCGTCGCATTTGTTGATTTACATGCCGTTGCACGAATTGGATACCTACGCCCTGTCTCACTCGGGTCCACTATCTTGGTGTATGTGTCACTCGACGTCATTCTCCCCGTCTCACAAAACCTTGAATGTGCAAGGTAAAGCTTCGTCGCTTGACATTTGGGTGCGAGACCCTGCGGGCCAGACAAATGACTTAACTGACGATTCTTTCCAGATAGGAAACAAGTCACCGAACCAGTCACGTCACGCCCGTCAAGCCAGTCAGAGCGTAGTTCAGCTGGGCAAGGGAGAGCTGAATACGTAGTAAGGTGCAGAACTTCAGGTAGCGGTACCTTACTGAGGACCCACTCCAACTGCGGAGACTGCCGGCGTCAACCCGGGCCGCAGAACGCAAGTGCCGGCTGAGCCCCGGCCAGTCCCGTTTCCCCACTAGAGTCTTTGGCGCCTACCTTACTTTGCACTTGAGCAAAAGTGCATGGAGGAAAACGTTGTGCTACCTGGCTTACTTGCGTCGTAGGAAGGTAACCTTCGATGTAAGATAAGATGGGAAAGGTAGGTAAGCAAGGCTCTGGCGGACGAATGTTACCATTATGCTGTGCTAAAGTGTAAGCGGGCATCGTGTTACTCCGTGAGAGGCTAACAACTTCCTTCTTCCGTAATTTTGGTTCGAATCAGCCGCATTGCGAGACTTATCTTTGGTGTAGAAGGAAGTAACACTCCTTGTGTGTAGGTAATGTTATCCTCGAAATACCTAGGTACCACACTACCTTACCTAAGGTAAGGTAGGTAAGTACCACGTGAGGAGGCAGCCTGAAGATAGGAAGATCACACCTGCCTCATCATCACCATAAGTCTTTGGTACCTACCTGGGCAGCTACAGATCCTCGAATGCTCGGGGAAGGAGAGATGCTGGGTTCCCTTCCAGAATCGTCTCAGGATAAAGGATCTGGTCGGCTGCCTTTCAATTCTTCCCTCTCCCTTCATCCCCTCAAGTCAATGTCATTCTTCAACTCGGTTCCAATTCTGCCTCCATAAGGTAGCAAATCCAAGCGTGCTGGGCTGCGATAGCAAGAAGTCAATCGTCCACGATGCCTCCCCTCCTTACCCCTAATCCAACACCCTCCAAGGTTCCTCATTCTCAACCTCAGTCTTCGACACCAGCTTCTCGACCCTCGCAAAGCACACAGGCCTCAAAGAACCCCAAAACAACAGCAGATCTCTCACCAGAGCACCATGCAATCATGCTTCGTCACGCACTCTCCTCTCCGACAATCCGAGCACTTGCTTCCCTTCCCCGCGGCCCACCTCCCGGAGAGATCCTCCGTTGTGCCTCTTCCGCAACAGAATTCCTCTCCTTCACCTTCAATCCTTTGGAAAAGGTTGCCTTCTCCCACATCAACAACGATCCTTCAACCCGCTGGCCCCTGAAAGAGGCCCTGACTGAGCCCTGGCACAAGGTCTTCCTCGTCGCCCAATGCGAAGCCTCGGGCGGAGACTACGGCGACCGCCTCTCCGTCAAGGCCCGGCAGAAGCTCTTGTCCGACAAACCCCGCATAGTAAAGATCCTAGGTCAGGTTCTGCGTGCCTGCGCCGACATCATGGGTTGTCGCAAAGACGCCGTCGGCCTGAGGCGCTCCCTCGAGACCTGGCGTGCCGTCGTGTCCAAAAGCTAGGAGGGGCTGGCGACGGAGCTACTTCAGGTACCCGATATTGGGCCGAAAAAGATGATCACGCTCGTCGAGCATGGCATCAGAACCATACGCCGGCTTGCTGAGATGGACTTCTTTCACATCGAGAGGGTGCTCTCCCGAAATCCGCCATTCGGTCAGAAGATTGTGCGTAGCTTGGCACACTTCCCACGCCTCGGACTTGCTGTGGACATACCCAAACGCGACGAGGGCCCGAAAAGTGGTGTCATCGTTCGCGCCATCCTAGGCTGTTCGAATCGCGAGGCTCCAGTATGGAAAGGGGCGACACCTTGGGTCACAATGGCTGCCGAGACCTCGGATGGCCGACTGGTCTTTTTCTGGAAGGGAAAGGTCAAGAGCCTTATGCCGAGCAAAAACCTCGTGTTCTCCATCGAAGCGGCCAAGGGCGAGAAGGTGTTCGTGTGGGCAAGTTGCGAAGAGATTGCTGGTACTTATGTGACAGGGGAGGTCACCGTCTAGATTGATGCGGTTGGAAGTAGTTGAACGAGTACTCATTTTCAGAAGGGGGATTTCCATGGCATGTCAATATTTGCCGAAGAGCTTCAAGAGCTATGACAGAGTAGCAATGGACTGACTATTGAGTCCTCAAAACCATGTATGCACTTGGCCGCATAGTGCAATGATGCCCGTGCAGTTTGTTAGTAGTTAATTCGCTATCATCGTGAGCGACAGCTCTGCCTTATGCGTATAATAAGACTGGACTTATCGATCTCATTATCATTGTCTGCTACTCGAATACGCAGGCCACATCATCAAGCACTCCCGCAAAGCATAGTCGTAACGATGTAAATCTCTTATTCTCCGAGCGGCTAGCGCTGTACCGCTCGTCCGTAGCATGCAGCTGCTAGTCTCTGCAATATGAACACTCGCGCTCTCGACTCCCTAAGAGGGGCCTCAGATATACAATGCACCGTTGCCTGGACCTTACGGTCTGGCCGGGTATCGCTGTTGATGATACTGTGTGGTGTGTGGGTGGTTTGCTCACATGCAAGCCGGACTCTATTCCAGGACTCAATGTCCAAATATTCCGGAGCATGCCACCCGAGATAAGACCAAAAAAAAGGTGCACAAGAAACGAGCCCCCCCTCCAATCCTTTTTATTACCCAGCCTTTTATTGCTCGTCATGGTACTCCCCATCCGATCCCCCAACTCGACTCCGGTCAACGAATTTACGTTTACAGCATTTCAAAGTGACGTCATTATAGCGACGACGTGATGCAAATTAGTCGTCGCGGTTCTTGCCCCTGGCTGATGGCGCTCGGTGGTGGTGCAGCATAGGCGACGATGGCCTAGACGTCGAAAGTCCCATGCTGCGGACCGCATCGAGCGGGTCGAGGTTAAGCTTGGTTTCGTCGGTGACGGCTGGCGTGTACGCCGGGTCAACCATTGCCTTCTCGTAGCTCGCAATCGTAATCGGTGGCGGGCGGCCCTTGCGATCGGGAATGCTGTAGATGTAGGTCGCGGCAAGAACCAGAGTAGTACCGAGAATAAACTGAGAAGGTCAGATTCAAGAATCATGGCGGGCTGCGGGAATTTACTTACGGAGAAATTGACTTCAAAGTTAAAGAACCAAACGCTGAATAGAAAGCTGATAACGATACTGATGCTTGCAGCAAAGTTCTTTGCAATGTTGTCGGCGTAGTTAATGCACAACGACGCAAGCACGCCGCCGACAGCTTGGAATACGATTGCGGTCCATACGACCCAGTTGTAGCCATCGAAGAAACCATGCTTGGCAATGTCTTCCGCATCAATCAAGATAACGCCTGCTAGAGCAGGGAACAGCGAGTAAAACGACAGCTGGATGTTGCGCGTCCATACAGAGGCATGGGTTCCTGAGTCCTTGAGCATCTTCTCAAAGTAGACTCCAGCAAGACCCGAGGCGACGGCGGCGACGAGCACGGCGGTCAGTCCAATCGAGTAGTTCATGAGCGGTGACGGGTCTTGGTCCTCTTGGATACCCTGATACGAGGCCGACCGCTTCACGATTTCTCCGCCAACGCCCGCGAGACCGTCCGCGGCGCGCTTGGTGAGCTCACGGGCCACCTCCGCCGCACCCTCGGCAGCTTGACCAAGCTCGTGCACGGAGCGAGGAAAGAAATGGTCTGTGGTGTCGTGCAGGAGGATGCTGGCCGACGTCGATTCGGCATGGCTTGCGGACGAAGGTTGGGGAAGTGACACAATGGATACGCCCAAGGTCAAGATGATCAAAGAGATCCAGCGCTTCATACCGAGCGCGCGGCGAAGCATCGTAACGGAGAAGACAGCGGTCGTGAGAATCTGCGACGAGAACACGGTTAGTTCCGGTAGATCCCCCGAGATGAGAGAATCAATCCGTAACTGCGTACCTTGAGCTGGTATAGAACTTGGAAGTGAACGGCATCCAGGTTCCCAACAGCGACGTATTGTAGTGTGTTTTGCAGCGTGTATAGTGTTGCTGGGATTGCGAGCTTCCACCCATCGCCCGAGAACACGGAGTTGAAGATCTGCTCGAAGATGACGGTGGCCGGCGTGGACGGTGCCAATGTGCGCGAAACCTCTGCAATGGAGCAAGTCAAGCAAATTGACAGCTTGATCACCTCATTGAGGAAGACTGCGGTGGATGTGAAGTATCGGTGATCGCCCACGGGAGGCATGATGCGGGAGTAATGCATGATCTACCACGGCCGGGTCAGCGCTGGTTTCTAGAGATGGCGACAACGAGAAGGCTTACCAGAATCAGTGCCGAGTTTTGAAAAGTGAGCTATAGAGCGAGGCCATTGTCAGTTTTCGCCGATATAGAAGGGAGCCTTTGCGCAAGGCTTGGGGCGAGCAATCGTTTAGAGCGTACCGTGATGAGAGAAAGTTGCTTCATGGACATGCCGAAAAGTGTCGGCCCCCCCGCCGGCGGCGCGGCAGCGTCGAGGAGAGCCATTATGGCTGATGCGAAAGGAATTGAGATCGTCAAAACGTGAGAAATAGCAATTGGCGGTGCTAAGATGAGTAGGCAGATGTTAAATTCGTGCGATGTGTGCTGTTCTTCTCGAAGTTTTGGGGGTCCTGTTTCGTCGGGTATTTTTGAACCGCCGATAATTCGTCGCGTTTAAAGGGGGGAACAAAGTGGGTGGTGTGGGAGCTAAGCTGAAGCTCTCCCTTTTTTGACCCTATTTTTTTCTTCCCGTCTCGTCGTAGGATGGTAGGTAGTGTACTTGGTAGGAGGTTGCGTCAAGACAGCGAATCGGGGTACAGATGATGATCTGGAGGGGTCTGGAACAATGTCAGAGCGGCGGCGGGCAGGTAATACGGTGGGTTGTATGGATCGCGTGGCAGCAAGTAGTGGTGATTGGCAATGTCAAGCTGCCGGGTGGTGGAAAGATGCAGACAGGTAGCGGGAGAGGAAGAGAAGGGGAAGGTTGGAAAAGAAGAAGAGAAGGGTTGCATTGAAGCCGTGGAAGAGGGTTGGAAAGTGTGTCGCGTTTCTCAATGCCCCAGGATGGGACGTTTCTAGCCCCCGTCCAACTAAGAGCAAGTGCAAGTGCAAATCTGCGTGACTGCGACTGTGTGTTTCCTCTGCTTGGGATGCGCTGTCCGTGACGCAGGTACGCAGGTCCCTTCCTTCCCTGACTGGGTGAGGCGGCCCCTGACGTAAGGGAAGAGCAAGGGCGGGCAGGAGCAAGGGGGTTTCCTTCCGAAGCAGCTGGGGCAACAGGGCAGGCAAGCCGCAAGAGTACCTCACCTCAACCTGGAAGTCGCAAGTGCAAGTGCGAGTGCAGAGCAGGCAGGTGCCGTAGTGGAGTCACTACGGACCTGGAGACTGGAGTGACTGGGCAGTGGGCAGTGGGCAGGAAGGAGCAGGACGAGAAGGGGAGGAAGGGGGAAGGGGGAAAGGAAAGGACGACAAGGGTACGTACCCCTTGGTCTGGTCTCTGCAGTCTCTCGTCTCTCGTCTCTAATCTTTCTGGTCTCTCCTTCCAGATTTCTGCAGGTGCGAAGGGAGGGAAAGGTGCAAAACACAAATGCCAAGGCAAGTGCAAGATGCAGGAAAGAGGAAGAGGAATGAAAAAAAGAAGAGATGCAATGCGCGCCTGAGATGAAGTCTGTTCTCAAATGGCCTTGAATGCACGTTTGCCGGCTTGCCAAGTGAGTGCACACGCTCTCTCACTGGCCTGGCTCCCAATTGGTGATTTGTTGAAAGTCCGGTGTCCGATGTCTCCTGCAAAAACCATGTGCTCTTGCTCAGTCAGAGCCTGTCCGTGAGTGAATCTGGCAACCTCTACACTATCTGTGAGCCTGTGGAGGTACCGTAAGGTAGGAAGTAGAGACCACCTCACAACACAACAGCAAGTGACCTGGAACAAGGGACGAATACTCGGATCTCCGTATCGCGACAGCACCAAACCCAAGTATCGGTGACTTGTTTGAAACCACGTCTCGATGTCTGGTCGGCGCCCCCCTTCCTCGGTTAGCATGAGCAAAAAACTTGGGCAGAGCTTCAGCTTCCACGGCCTCCCATTCGTCAACCGTCCCTCGCCTCGCCTCACCTTTCACAACTCTCAAACTCTCCCCGATGACAGTTGCGGGATTGCCTGCAAATGCCGCCCTCCCCAACCATGCGATACGCCACGATACACTGCGATACACCTCAGAGACACCTAAAAAATCAGAAACACGTACCTCAAGCTTGTTGCCGTGAAGGCATCCACCCTGTTCTACTGGGCAAGTCGATGCGAGAGGAAACACTCGAACCACCAGACCCCAAAGCTTCCCACGTCCTTCAGCTGCTGCTATCCCAGCTCGTTTGCCCGGATCCTCGTTATTGCGATTTCTGATGCACCGAGAGATGCAGAGCCGCCCAATATCGGTCGGAGTCCCTTGGTCTTCAGTCCGATTCTAACCCGCTCAACCGCCCGAGCGTGCCGCCGTGCCGTCCAAGCCCGCCCGTTTACCTCTCGGAGTCTCTGCCACAACGCCCTTTCCCGCTTGTGCCTAGATGCCCAGATGCCCAGCCTGCGGGATGGACGATTGCTGGAGTCTTTTGCCCGGCTTGCAGATCAACGACGCATCGGTCACGCTTGCAGTGGAGGAACCCGCGCTGAGGCCCAACTCGCACGCAATCCAGATGGGTCCACGGCACCCAAATCAGCACTACAAGAGGCACTGTAAACAGACGATCAGCGATGCGATGACAGGGATCATCTCTGTTTTCGGCCCCCTTTTTTCTCTTGTTCCTGTCTCTGCAACCTGGCTGCCGTCACTGATGATCCGGGGAAGCTGCTGGGAAAGCTATCTTGGTTCCTAGTCGATGCATACACCGAGACACAGTCGAATTGCTTAGGCACTCCTTCGACCACAAGCCTCAAGAATCGAGCCTCTATTTAGACCGTCGTCGACATATTCAATCTTCCACCATCTTCACTGACCACCCTCAGCCCTTCACGAGATCAAAAGCTCACCGTTCAAGCAACTAGCCCCGGCCCAGGGCGGGGAAGCTCCCCATAGTTTCTGCGCCTCCATGCATAGTGAACTGTCCTGGCTGGATCTGGGTCCAGCATGGCGTCACCTGGCACTTGGCCGGATCACCACTTCGGTTTTTGGGCAAAGACAACCTAATAACCTAATAAGCCTAGAAGCGCCATCGAGACATTCTTCCCTAAAGCGAGACACGCTACCCCAACCGCGTTGACAACTTCCGCCATCCCGCCCTCAACACCACGCCAATCACCATCTAGACAACTCCCTGTCCCGTGCGACTCCGCCGCCACGTCTGGCAATGCTTGGCCTCATGACCCGCCCAATATTGACCGCCAACGTCACCTTGTGTGAAGTTGAAGGGGGGCCAAGTAGCCAGGAAAGGTTGGGCAAGGCGCATCACGCGGGATCCATTCCATGGTTTTCAGACGATGCATCCTCCATGTCACAAGAGACGCGTCTGACAGCTGCCAATGAGTCAGGACGGTTCAACGTTGAGGCTTCGCACGGGTGGTCGCCACGAAGGCTGGAATGCCTTAGTGCGATCCCAATTTCGACGCCTCCCCCAGATTCTCGCACCGCTATTGGCTTGCTCCAGACATCTACCGGCTCTGTTCCAGGTGAGGTTATGAAGAGGTCCTAGTCATGATTGTAGTTTGGCTGTTCAATCGATCCTCCGATGTTCGGTCCGGTGAAGGCATGGCATGCCGCTTCGACATCTCCGACGACTGATGTCGGATGGCTTGTCGTCCTCAAACAGAAGAACATCACGTCAGAGCCGACGATACTTCTTGGCCAGTTTCTAATGATAAAAGCCACAGGATGATCGTGTGTGCTGCCAACTTCACACACGAGCGAAATCACGAACACCCTTTTTCACCACCCGAAATTCAGCATTCTATCTCAAGCGAGATCGCAGTGCTATGCTACTCCCCCAGCTGGACGACGGGGGTTATCGATGCCTTTGGCCAACCATCAATGACACCATAGATGCTCAGATGATGTCGAGCAGAATATGCTGGCTTCTCCAGTGGTACTGCGGACAGAGTTATGGCAGACGGTCAGTCGTAACTCATTATGTGTATTGTATCCCACAGTCACGCTCCATCGGTCTCGTAAGCAGATACCTTCATGTATATGCTTGAATGCTAAATGCTCGCAGAGTCGAAAGAACTAGCCACTTTCATTGTATCTATGAACTATCGAGACTTCCTCCCAGCTCTGCTATACTGCTCGCATGACTTCTTCATATGGGCTTAGTTCAGTGACTGAGGATCCGTGACAGCCCATCGATCTCATACAAGGGTGTCAAGCGACACAAACGCGAGGTCTCACGTACATCCTCGTCAGCCTCGTGCTTGACAAAACTGGCGCATCAATAGGATTGGACTTCTTGCTTCTCGCACGCCCCAAATCCCTCTTATGGATGGTTGGCCGCTGATGCAAGTTGTATTTCATCCGCAAAAATGGAGGCAAGTTTCTGCTAGCGTAACTCTGACCAGTGTCAGCGATAATAGTCGCATTTTCTCTGCTTTATCAACTGGATGCTTTCGGGCTTCTGTTTCCTCACGATCACACCTGCAGCGACATGGGTGATAGCGAAAAGGGCCCCCATGTATCTTGGCTCTGCATCTGTTAGCCGAGGTGGGGATACTCTATAACCTGTTGAGAAGCACCTCCGAAGATTCGACCACCCACCAACGACAACGATACGATTCGTTGCGAACGACAGGCAATAACACGCGAAGGAACATATCACCAAACATGGTTCATTTTATTGCTTACGTATGGCGCCTTGCAGCCTTATATTCTGCCATTCTCAATCAACTGAACGACAACATCAGCGCCCAGCCGTTAAGCAATGCCTTAATGCCTCCTCCGTGGCTGCTTACTCTCGGTCAAGGCTGAACTTGATAGGACCATGGGACTTCTGCAGGCGTCCCTTGCAGCGAGGAATGGGGGTTCGCCAGTATCGTACATGCGGTGAGATTGCAGATTATAATTCTGCAGTCAGCACGAGCTGCCTGCATGCTGCTCACGGCTTGACCGCGAACCGGTTATAAAGTCGCAGCTTGACCCGTTCAATAAAATCATGACTGTGTTTCGTGCCATCAATATCCCCGGTTCGCGCTGAAATTTGTCTCCAAGTCATCGAGGCGACGTTTGAACGAAGTCATGTTAAGTCCTAGGCTTTTTGCGGCGGCTGCCTTCGCAGCTGGCCACGTTGTTCACGCCCTCGCAGCTGACATCAGCTCGACGGAGCCTGCCAACTTCAATGTTGTAGACGCACTTCATGGGCTAGGCATTGTCATTTCTGAGATTCCAAACCTGACCGGCTTCAACAAGAGGTCGGAAATAGGCTGCTCCGCTGCGGTGAGTCGTCTACCCTCCGCAACGCCACTTCCGAGGTGACTGACGTTTGGTTCTCCATTGTAGTGTGGCACTTTGAAATTTGTCTATGGCGATGATGCTGTCGAAACGAGAAATGAACCTGCATACACTGAGTTCGTCAGCTCATACTGGTCTGGGAACCAAGCCCAGGTCAGCCCTTATTGCATCTTCAAGCCGTCGAAGCCAGAGCAAGTATCTGTCGTGGTTCTACTGTCCCGTCTCACGCAGTGCCCATTCGCTGCCAAAAGCGGTGGCCACGCCGCAATGGCTGGTGCGTCCAACTCTCAGGACGGGATCACGATCTCATTCCAGAACATGAAGAGCATCGCGCTGTCTGCTGACAAGAAGATTGCTTCGATTCAACCTGGCAATATCTGGGGCGACGTCTACCGCGAGCTCACAAAGTCTGACTTGAATGTCATCGGTGGTCGGATATACGACATCGGTGTTGGTGGACTGACTACTGGAGGTACGTTCCCGATCAAGACACTCCAAGCCGGGACATGCATCTTTTGTGAGCTTGAACAAGGACTCTCGCGGTCTCCTTGAGGCATACGCCTGGCACAACGCGTCGATCGTAGAACGCCATGAGCTAATGCAATCATAGGTGGCATATCCTACTTCTCTAACCTCCACGGCTGGGCTTGTGATAATGTCGAGAGCTACGATGTAAGTTCACTGGGGAGAGACTCTGAGCACTAGCTGATTTTAACAGGTCGTCACTGCTACCGGTGCTATCATCCGAGCATCAGCCAACCAGTTCCCGGACCTGTACTGGGCCCTACGTGGCGGCGGCAACAACTTTGGCCTCGTAGTCAGCTTCAACCTCCGGACCATCTCGCTCCCAGGCGGTAAGATGTGGGGTGGTTCCCGTACCTATCTCCAAGACTCGTTCCCTGCGCTCTCTGAGGCTTATGCCAACTTTATTGCGAACGCGGAAAAGGACCCGAAGGCTGGCTTGTGGCACGTATACGCCTACTTCAACGGCACCAAACTCTCCCTCCCGACGCTGTATTATGCCGAGCCGGATGGCGGCGAGGCCGATATCTTTTCCGAATGGAACGCTATTCCCGCCATTTCGGACACGACGCAGAACCGCATAATTGCTGACTGGGCTGGGGAAGGAGCTCAGGGTTCACCGCCGGGACCGCGGGAGATTTATTCCGTCATTAGCAGCAAGGCGGACAAGGGACTTGTTGATGCCGCTCAGGAAATCTACTTTGAGGAGGTTCTTGCCGTAACGGACCTGCCTGGCATTCTTCCCACTTTGGTGTTCCAGGGCATCACCGTTCCGATGTTGAAGCACATGCAGCAGAACGGGGGCAATGCACTGGGTCTCAATGTCGAAGACGGCCCGTTCTACATCATTCTCCTCTCCATAATGTGGAGTAACGAAGAGGACGACGACAAGATTTACTCTTTTGCCTCAACAGTGATGGAAAGAATCAACGATGAAGCGAAGGCGCGGGGGCTGGAGAACGACTACATCTACATGAATTACGCCGCACAGTTCCAGGATGTTGTCAGTGGATACGGTGCGGATAATAAGGCTAAGCTCAAGAGCATCGCGAAGAAGTATGATCCCAAGGAGGTGTTCCAGAAACTGCAGCCTGGGTACTTCAAGCTGGATCGCGCCCCGGTGCCGGGTTCCAAGTACTTCAACTGGTAGAAACCTTCAGACATGAGATGAAGGTCCAATCCCTTCGTACGAGAAATTGAATAGAGTCTTGCCGCACATGCAGCTCTCTTCATTCATCGGCCATGGACAAGCTAGTGTCTATCTACAGGGCGGATAATGACAATCCTCTCACTGAGATAATGTAAAGCAAAGATGATCTATAGCTGTTCTAACGTGGTCGCCACTGTCCGAACCACCCTCCATAAGCATAAGATGCTAATGGTATACCATTCTCAACGAGATTCTTGAAACGTCTGGAAAGTCATATTTGAATCCGACCGTTTCCGCAGAATCTTGAGCATCCACGGCGGGGCCCTATCCCGAAGACTCCCACCCCGAACCCTCCGCTCGAGAAGCCACTGCACCGTCATCGTAGCCATGGCGCAGTTCCACACAAACGAAACAATCATGCCCAGAGAGAATAGGAGCGACGAAGAGAGCGTATTCGTTCCGCAAATCGTCATGATGCCGAAGTCGTCGATGCCGTCGGGAAGGGCGAAACCCGAGATGAGCAGGATGGCTTGGCAGACGAGGAAGTCGAGGGCGTTGAAGAATTTGAGGCGGCGGTACATGTAGAAGGTGAGATCTGGGCGGGAGCTGAGTCTCTTTTGGTAGAGGTAGAGGGGAACTGATATTGCGGCAAGGCCGATGGTAATGTAACCGATGATCTAGAAAAGGATCAGGGTCAGCTTCTGACTTGCAAGCGTTCAAGGAGGGGTAGCTTACTCCGTGCTCTGTTCTTGCGTGGTCAGAGGTTCCCATTGCGATTATGCCGGCGACTAGTCCCGCGATGGCCAGGGGAGCGAAAAGGATGACCGTGAAGATTGTCTGCCATCGTTCCAACTTTCGTTTCGTGGGCTCCTGAAGTGCGCGATCGATCATAATGCATAAGCTGGGCGCTGAAGCCAGTACCAGAATGACGGGATAACAGAAAAAAAACGCCGCAGTCATGCATACAACTAGGGCCTGTTAGACACACAAAGAACGACAGACTTCAGGGGGAATGAGGCAACCCACGATGCACATAGGTCAATAACACAAAGTCATCCTCGTCGACCCCGTTAACTTTGTAAGAATCATCCGAGAAGTCAATAGAGAAGGCGTTTCCTTTCGACGTAACATTGAGTTGCATACAGGTTGGTATCGTGACGTTGAGCAGGGGGTTAGCTGAGATATTTCTTTGCAGTAGTTCGTGTAGTCCTGCTACACCCTTGATGATCCAGCAGTGATCAGTCGTTGATAAGTCGTTAAAGTGCTCTTGCAGGAAGTCGGTTATGTAAAGTTCATCCCAGGGACTAAAGGGGCAGTCTCGCCATATAGGAACTATCGTGTCGTTGATTTGCCGATTGTGCAGTTCTACGCTTCGGGTCAGGCCTGGGTCCTCGGAGATGCCATCTGCAAGTCCGATGCCAAAGAGAAGTACGCTAAGCAACATCATGCCTGAATACATGATCTGGCGGTGGTTCGACGACAGAGAAAAAGTTAAAGAGGCTTCCCTCATAAAGTCTCTGAGGTAGTAGTGAATGTGACAATCTCCACCGAGCCGTCGGCAGTCCTTTTCAACGGAGGCTCTCCCGGCCGTTCCCAGAATGACGAAAACTGCGAGGCTGCATTTAAGGGACTTTGTACGGCAGAATTTGCCCCATTGTGAGGCTTGACCGGTGATTTAAGGTTTCGTCTCATTGTGCGACGGAGTCGTACTCATCGCACACTCGGATCCGGTGGAGACTCGGGGGCCCGCGGAGGTGCTGGGGTTGCAGGGCCACCCTTGCTAGCGCGATCCATCACTCTGTAGTCTATCTGTACGGCAGCGAGAAATGAACTATCAGGATATTTGAGTACTGACTTAGAGCGGTTCATTTCCGTAGATATCTGCTCTATTAAGCTAGGGACTGTACAGACGCGTACTTGCTGCGCCACTGTGCTGCCCCAATCGCAAAGGTCCCGAAGATACCAGAGGCGTACCTAGATACCCGAAACATCAGAAGTCGAAGCAATCCGTCACGCCGTCGATGCCAAGCTCGCTCAAAAACAAGCCGCTTACATGAGAAGATGAGGGAAATAAGATATGGTCCCTCGTGCTGTTCTCGGTTCTAGGCGAGTTGCTTCTCTCTCCGTCATCATCTCTTGCCGCCTTCGAGCCGTCCACATCGCGCGAAAGCGTCAAGCCAAATGGTAGAGCGACTGCTGGCGACGGTTGGCCTGGAAACTTTGGTATATCCTGCATCAACTCGGGAAATTGGGCAAAGAAATCTGGTGCCATTGTCCAAGATCGCAAGTCGTGGATCTTCTCTTTGAAGAGAGGCGAGAGACCGTATGTTCCCAGTTGCATATTCCTGATATAGCAGTCTCGAAAGTCGTACGGCCATACTATTCGCAAATGTTCTTTGAACATGTGCCAGAACAAATTGCTACAGTACCGGTGTGGCGCAATGGCAAACCGGTACCTTAAGGCTGGCCTGCATCTGTAAGTCAGCATCATGCCCTTTGCTAAGAATCGAGCCAACTTACCAGGCAAAGTAATCAGCTGATGGATCATGAGTAATTTCCTGCAGAGGCCTTCGTAGGTTTAGCCCATGACCACATTGAGGACTCAACAATATGCATTGCACTTACGATTTCAGATACCACATTGGTACGACTGCAGACTTCACCAATGTCGGATCGGCATATGCCCTCATAAGAAGATGGATTATGAACAGAACGGCCAAACGTTCCGCTTGTCCACATGCTGAGAAACAAAGTTCATCGAGTTGGCGAACCTTTCTCCATAAAGGCGTCATCCTGCCTGTGTGCGCCAAGCTATCCCAGCCATGAAGCACAGCCTGGACAGGAACATCCTCGACTGTCTCTCCTTCCATTCGTATTGAAGCGTCGGGGAGAGCAAATGGCTCTTGAAGAATTTCGTTACCCGCTTTCCAGTTATTGCAACTGACTTGTGAACCATCCGAGAGTCGTCGAAGTCTGTTGGTTGACGAGCAGTGACATTTCGATACAATTCGGCGAGTTTCTGTTGTGAACTGCTGACTTTTTCTTGATGTGGATGTGTCGAGTGATACGCCTCTCATATGTGGCTCACTCATGTTTTTCGATGGTGCGGGTGTCGTGAAGTCTGGCTGAAACATTGAGTCACCCAAAAGCTGGCTGATATCAAGAGAAGATTCTTCCATGAAACTATCCATGTCATCCCTCATTTCTTTCTCCGGGACATCATCGGCGGAGCTATCGAAGACAGGGACTGATGAATATGCTGGAGACGTTGATGATTCCGGGCTCGGATGTTTCGGCGAAACCTCTTTAGCTGATGGCGGCTTCGACGGAGAAGCCACGTCGCAAATCATCCCCGTTGAGCCCCATGATTCAGCCTCTTTGACATGATCGTTGAACAAAGAAGAAGTCGTTTTGAGACATCTCATGAGTTTGTTCCTCTGTTCAGTCACCCTTGACAACTCTGCCATGAGCGATGCTGTAGTAGCGGTGTCATCTTGCTGGCTCAACTTCGCGACCAAGCTCTCGAGCTGAGCTATTCGGTTCTTCGTCTTTTCTCGAGCAACTCTTTGGGCTTTGCGATCGTATTCTCTCTTCTTGAGCCTCTGAGATGTTGCAGCAGTCTGTGAAGTCCGCCCGGGTGATCGAGCAGCCGTATCTTGTGTGCAAGAAGTTGTAGGCGTGCTAGTCATTTCGACCTGTTTCTGAGTATTGAAGCTGAGTGTCATGCAGTGAATATGCGACAAATTGAAGTTCGCCTGTTACTCAGCAGACGAAGAAGTCGCATGAAATGGTGGGTTCGGGGTGACGTGGGTGGGGTTTGTCCGACGAGTTGTGATGAGAATGCGGGGGAACAAAGATGTTAGAGGCAAATGACCTCGGATCCTCGGTAGCACGCGGTACGAGATGGTTTCCTTTTTGAAACTAATTAAACAACCAGCCACTCATTTCACTAGAACGATCGAGTAGTCACGAACTCCCTCACGCACCAGGTCTATGGTGGTATTTGTACTCAGGGGATCGTCTGCGGGGCCCCGGACTAAAGGATGATCTACATAAAGTAGGTTTATAGTCTAATTAGCTAGGCCTTGCTCTGGGTTCTTCTTCTCAGGTAAAAGTAGTATGTCCCAGAGTGCTGAAGTTCCTTGTTGTCCATAGCACCGATCACAGTGTTTTCATCCACATAACGGAATGCGTCAATGATGGGGAACTTGTCATAAACCATTGCCGCAGTCACAACACCCCTGAACTTAACCTCTCGAACCTGATATCTCTCTTAGCTATATCTTCGATAACAAGTAATTGCCCAATCTAGATGCACTCACCCGCGCGTGGCCGTAGTCAGAAAACCACGTTCGTTTGCCATCTTCTTCGTATCGCATGATTGGATCTACATCATCGACGGACCGGAAGTCTTTACCCGCCCATTTGAAGTTGCGAAGCTGCAAATGCGTGGGATGTCCAGTATCGAAACTGCCTCCTTCCCACTGGCCAACGAGCAGCTCTGGAGCGACAGGTTTCAGCTGATCGTAGACGCTTGCGATAGTGGCCTCCTCTACATGGCCCTCGATCTTGGCGAGTTCCGCAAATTGCTGTTCGGGTCTACATGATTGGTGAGAATTTGTCAATGTCTAGTTAGGGCTGGGGTCTAAGCGCGAACGTTGAAGTCATTATAAAAGTTGTCGTTTGAAAGGAGATGCGGTTCCGATTCTTTTGAGAATGATGCTTGGTTCAGTGTTCCAAGTCAAACCGTTGCGTATCATCAGTCATATTTATGCAACGAAACCAACATCATTTCGCTCCTCGGGGTTCGTGGCGCCACTGGGGAGTTAACATCTACAAAGTCGTGAGCCGAGGGTGCGAGTCAAAAGCCCGTCCCCACCCCTGACTCGACTCTGCATGTCACACTTGAAGCGATTCAGTAGAGCACTACTCAGTGATTCACAGCTGAGAGCTCTCACTCCGTATGTGTTCATCGTGTAGTAATTCTTGCGCCTCACAATACTCCTTCGCACTATGAGGAATTTCAATTTGTGGACTTACGTGCACGAAATTTCGATCATGAGGCTTGGACGAAGTAGGGTATCAGTCCTACCTAGATCGAAATAAAGATCAACTCAATTTGAGAAAGACTCAATTCTCTTCACAGACAACATGATTGCTTGAAATTGCCCGAGGAAGCTACCTAGAAAAACGATTGAAAGCGCTTTTTAGGATCGTAAAGACGCCGCAACTCCACCAACTTCTCATAATGCTCCCGGTATACCTATCGAATCATCAGAGAAAATACTTCGAACCAAGAAACTCAGAGATCAGCTGAAATTACTCACCCCTTTCACGTCGTGGTAAGATGGCTCGAGGCCAGCAGGATTGACCTCCGCCCGAGTTCCTAGGCCTAAAACTTGACCAGGCGCATCGTTGGAGATTTGACGAATGATTTTCTCCTGCTCCTCTGTGCCATTCCCCGGACAGCTTATGATGAAAAGCAACAGGTGGTTCAGGTTGTTGGACCGAGGCCATGCAACCTCTGCGGTACCGCCAATTGGGGGTCGCTGTAAGTCGACTTATCAGTAAGAGGACAATGACGAGATGGAATGAGAACCTACAAGCAACAAGAACTCGAAGATGACTGAAGACATGTCGTGAATAGTCTGGTCTAGCTTCGCTATGGTGTCATAGACTTCAATCGCTCGCGCGATTGTGACACGATCCAAGTCGGACACTGCCATTGGCGCGTAGAGCGTCTTCATTGTGCCTCGCATGACATTTGCATTTCCTTGTATGGGAATCATGTTAACGTGGTATTCTCTGGAAAACATAAGAGCGTCTTACTCTGCATGTCGAGAACGCCTTTCATGTTGGTCACTCTTGTTTGGTCGATTGCCCCGGGCTTTTCAAGAATCCAACCGAAGGTAGCTCGACCATGCTCCTCACCCAAGGCGTCGTACAAGTGGAAGATTACCGTGTCACCCAGATCTGGCTCAGGCTTCTCCAGAACGGTATGCAAGAGTTGCTGTGGCATCAAGTACATGAAGTAGTTGACCTTCGGATGGGGCGTAGAGTGATTGAACTTGACCACCTCATCAATCATTTGCGCTAAGAGGTGACGAGGTAGGAGCACAATGCCCGACCAGATTTCAGTTGGATACGGATGCGCCCGAAGAAGAACTTTGGTAATGACTGGTTTTCTGTTAGCTGAGATGATCAAAAGTCTCAAGACGAGCTAGGACTTGTACTTACCACCAAAGCCGCCGCCGCCGCCGCGTAGGGACCAGAGAAGACCCGGCTCCTGAGATGCCATGACAACAGTGCCATCAAACTTGACTACTTCTGCATCTAGGAAATTGATAGGATCGCTGATACCGCCGTACTCGGTGGACATCCATGAAAGGCCGCCATTGAGGATAGATCCCGTGACTCCGATGCTAGGTGTACGGGCTGCAGGAACTGGGTCTAGTTAGCTTGGATAGTGCTGTGGGTTACACACAATTGTATCACCTGAGTAATCGGGGTCAACTTGTTCCATGAACCCTACTATTTCTTCCCAAGTTGCACTCGCACCAACCGTAGCAATCTTTTTGGTCGAGTCATATTCCAGGCTCTTGAAGTTCAGCATGCTAATGATCACGTCTTTGGCGGAAGGCGATTTGAATCCATGACCGCGGATTGCAAATTCCAAGCCCGAGGAGTACAAAAACCGCACGATAGAGGACAGCTCTTCGATGGTGCTTGGAATGAGAACCACTGACGGGTAAAGCTGCTTCTGAATGGCAAACGGCTCCGAGTGAAGCTTGTATGACGGATCATCCGGTGTGATGACTGACCCCTGGCTCAACTTCTGGGTCAGAGGCTGCAATGCAGCGAGCGTTGATGGTTGAGTCTCATGAGACATGGTAGTGTTGGCAATGGAGGATGATGCTTGATAATCTTCAAGTCGAATGGGGGGATATCGTTCTCTTTTGATACGAAGAACCGGGAAACTATATATACAAGTCTGATGTCATGCGAAAACTTGCATCAATTAGATAGTACCAAAGCTTTTCCCTTTCGCGTCTCGGTTTTAAGCCTAAGATGCCCCGGGTGGAACACGACAGGGAAGATCTTTGGGAGAATGACATCTGCACAGTCTATTCGAGCGTCCAATGTTTTGGGTCCTTAAGGTGTATGAATCTAATATGATGTTTTTATTCGCTAGGATGACGAGAACCCGATGGGGGTGTCCGTACAGCGTCGACGGGGTCTCGGATTACAATGGAAAGACTCGGATTTTGGAACAAGTGTTGCCGCTACGGGGGTTGCGGAAACATCACGTTATTCTACGTAGTATCTCAGATCCAATGGAGAGACTTTGCCGTCTTTGGTGTAACTTGGGTAGTGAACTTACGATGGCTCGGCTCAATTGTGTATTGAAGTCCGTGACGGCCCGATTCGGCTACTAAGCGGAACGGACGTCATCAGACGAACCACGAGTAGAGGTAAAGTCAAATCTGCAAAATAGTCAGCAATCATGCTACGTAGCCCCAAAGATGAATTTTGGAGCTCTTGCATTATGAGCCGTTGAGTGGTTCTCTCGCGACTTCGTTGTCCGCTGGAATAGCGAAGAAGGTTGTCGGATTTGTAAATGTCAGATAGTCAACTGCTCTGTTTGTAAGCTGTCTCTGAATGCTTAAGGCCAAGAAATCTATAATTATGGTTCTATTGGTACCTGAAGGCATCTTTGTCCTCCGAAAAGTATTCGTCAGGTATCACAGCACCGAAGCTCCAACCAACCAAACATCAGAGTTGCCAAGATGAGCACCACAGCGCCCCAAACTAGCAAGGAGATGATTCTCCTCCCTCAGGATCTCCGAGGTCAGAATGCCCTGGTAACGTAAGCTTCAGTGCCCTCTTGTGATTCGTTTTTATGAGTCATTGCGGATTTACCTATGGACGGCCTAGGAGGTTGCTAATGATGGCGACAGAGGTGCTTCCCGCGGTATTGGCCGCGCCATAGCTATTCATCTTGCCAGTCGCGGAGCAAACGTTCTTGGTACCTGTGCATCCACTGAATCACTCAACCTATTCGAATCTCTCGAAAAGACCGTTCAACAGGGATACCACTCGAGTCAGTTCGACGCCCCAAGAGTCACGGGATTGGTTGCCAACCTTCTTTCGCCAGACTTGGCCGAGACGATTGCCAACAAAGTCCAGGATGAGTTCGATGGCAAACTCAACATCATTATCAACAACGCAACCCACTTTGAGGCGCGGCCAGTCCGTCAGCTTGATGCTGAATTCATCCAGAGGGTCTTGCTAGGCAATGTACAGTCTTTGGCGCTGACGATGGACGTGCTTCTCAGACGAGACTACATCCAGCCGGAATCCCGCGTTGTCAGTATCTCAAGCGATTGGGCTCGTACCGCAGCAGCATCGTAGTAAGTCACAGTCAAATAAGAATACCTTGGCGATCTCGGATTCCTGTGTTGATGTTAACTTTACAAGTGCCATGTTGTACGCATCGACCAAATCAGCAATGGAATCTCTGACCCGATCTTGGGCGGATATTTTGAGCCAGGACACAACGACGCTGGGAACTACGGTGAACTCCCTCTCAGTGGGTGGTACGGCGACTGATGCGCTCACTGGGAGTGCGCCGCCGGACATGCGCGAAGCCGCATTGAAGGTTCTGAGCGAGGGAAAATCAATCCATAACGGAGTCGGACTTCCAGATGATGTTGCCAAAGTCGTGGGTCTAGTCGTAAGCGAGGCGGCGCGCTGGATCAATGGAAGTGTCATTGCAGCCAATGGCGGCTCAGTCAAGATTTTATAAAGCTAGTAGCCTGGAAGCTGTTTACTGGCTACCGAGCGTAGCATTACAACGAAGCTATGCTTCATAGATGAGATTAGACTGATAGAAGAATGAACAGATGCTCTGCCACTACCAAGAAATGACACGGAGCGTGTCATGGATGATGGCACTGGCAGGAATGTCGAGTACCTTGAGCTGAATGTCAAAGAAGAGGTTTCCATGATGTTTTGCCACCCCCTCCCATGCATTCAAAGCATCCTGACACAGCTTCAAATCCCATGATGCACCGTGAGAGATCTCGACTGTGTGACCCGATATTTCGTAACGAAACAGAATCGCGTCATTCTTCCAGGTCTTCCACAGTTCCATGACCTTGAGATTTGGCAAGTGCATTGCGGCCGCAGCAGCTCGTTGAAGTAAGTCGGAACACCCCCATTCGGCCACCCCAAAAATCCCTCCTAGCCCCCCTAATTAAAATCCTACCCTTAATTTATAAACTACTATAATAATTATAATTATTATCTAAATAAATTTCTTTTTAATATATATATTTTTTATTATATTATAATATTATATATTAAAAATAAAGTTATTTAAGTACTTAAGGTAATTAAAAATAATACTTTAATTAAGAAGGCCTCGATTAAGTTCGGGATTTTAAAAAGTATATTTTAAAATTATTAATAAAGTTAATAAGTTAAGGTAATTACTTTTATAAATTAATAAAAGTTTCTTTTTTAATAAGAAAATAGGCTAATTAAATAAGTTCGTATTTAGTATATTTTAAGAATTATATTAATTTATAAATAAATTAGAGAATTTACTAAGTAAGTATTATAAGCT